TATGTGGTTAACTGGTTGACTTACTAATTTGTAACACCCTGTAAATCTTCCTCAGTTCGTTATTTCGTTCAAATGCTTATTATTCATTGAGTTATTACGGTAACAAGCACAGAAAACTATGAGAATTTTCGTTCTAAAATTTTGTTCAATTTGTCCTTTTTACGAAAATAAATTTTGAATTTTTTATGATTCCGAAATGCTTTAAAATTAAAATTCGAAAGTTGCAGATGCAGTTCAGTCGAATCGGGATATTATTTAGTCCCAGTCAGTGGCATTAATAAGGGGGTAGCGGTATCATTTTCATAAATAATATCATAAATAGGGTGTTTTTAAATAACCCTAAACTTTATAAAGTATGGCTTGTCTGATAATAAAATTTTGAAACAATTTGCCACCAATTACTCAAAGTATATAATAAATTGCACTAATGTCGTGCTTTTAATACAGAGTTATCGAAAATTGCATTCATCTCGAAAATTTATTTCGACAGGTTGCTCATAAAAAACTTATGAAAAATATTCAAAACAGTTCTAGCAGTGGGGACTGGTTCGTCGAGGTATGAAAATATAAATCGACCAACGCCTTCCTCTGCACTTTCTGCACGACAATACCATTTAATAATATTAATTTTTTGTTCGACACTGTACACCATTTTTATTTTGTAATATTCCGCCTACTTCTTACCAAAGGTTTGAGTGGAATAATAATAAAAATAAAACTAAACAAACAGCAAAAGCTTTAGATATTCGGTCGGGTCACAAAAAATGTAACGGGGCACGTGCGCTCCCACAGCCAGCCAATTACGAGAGTCCGAGTCGCAGCCTAGATGATATATGTCATGTCCGACCCCTTCCATCCAAAGTTGATAGAGGAGATGCATGTAATTTACTTAGTCTATGCGAAAGAATTACCTGGCCAGACCGGTATAACACTGCAAACGTTATAGGGTTACTTTTCCCCACTCCCCCCAAAACTAATAAACCGAGGTAATTTTAACAAATCGTATTAGTTAGCTGCTTCAGTCTTACTATGAAAATAAAACTTAACTCTAAAAAGCTTCTTAGAGTCCGATGTTTAATTCTTTTTTTTACAATTTACGTCGGAATAAAGGATTTCTATTATTTATTAATTCCCGATGGAGACGGCTAAATGGAAAACTATCGGCAAAAAAATAACGATCATCGTAAAGTAAGTCAAATGTCATTATTCCATATTTAATGACACAGAAAGAGATAAATTTATAGTTTCGTGCTCCGTAGCACTATTTCAAATGAAATTAATTCCATTATAACAAAGTTTATTGTTAATACGGCATGTTATAAATAAAATAAAGCATAGCCAGCTTCAGGAGAAGGTTTTTTTTTAGTTTCTAGGGACATGTTCGTTAGACAAAAATTGAAGTAAATTTAGTTAAGTGTACTTATTTTGATCGCAGGAAACTACAGTAATATATTCTATATCTTCTGCCTAAGTACTAATTTTGGGATACCACAAGGATCTCACCTAGAACTCTTTCTGTTTCCTTTCTCAATTAATGGCATCACTAGTGTTGGTGTGAGATTGAAGTTAAATATTTCTAACGCTACATTATCTTTTAAAGTATCTATATATTATTAAATAATAGTCAACTAACAAATTTTTTTAAACACTTACACTTTTTTTTTTCATTTTCGGTGACGTGGACGAATTAATGAAAAATTCAGCGTTATGTTATTAGTACAGCGAATTACATTTTTCGCTTAATAACATCTGTGGAATGGGGACGAGCCATTCTGCACCGCAACGATTAAGGTATGAAATAAATGACTTAGCACTTTAAATTTAATTCCCCTTTTGTCGACGGCACAACTGGTAGGAATGTGGAATTTCAAATGTCGGGTTATGTAAACACACCGAAAAGAAACACGCTTCGCAACATTGCTTCCGTACGTTCTAGGTGAAACGTGGGCAAAACAAAAGAATACTTTATCAGAAGTGGGATATACAAAAAGATCTGTCGGCAGCCACGAGGAAAACTAGATATCTTATGCAGAAAAATTGTTATTTTAAATCCAGAAAACTTGATCTCGAACTTTGGCGCAATTTTAAGTGGAAACCAGTTTTTAAAAGGTACTTAATACTACTTGTTCCCGAATACAAATCTGAAATTCTTTTTTAAATCAAATAAATATGACCTACATACTTTATTAAAGAGCACTTCAGAATTAGCATGGTAAGTAGTATCAGTGTTTTTGTGTAATGTAAGTGTATAACCTTATTAAGTTATTTAAAGTTATAAGTTTCTATATACAGGATATATACAAATCAAGGTATCAAGTTCATATGGTTAGAGCCAACTTTTTGTCAGAACAAAACGATGCTGTTGCAACAAGGCGATATTAGATGGATTATTCCGACCTATGAGTACCGAGTAAGAAAATGTTTGTAGATTGGTTCAACATTTAAGGGATTATGTTAGACAGGAACAAACTGAGAGAGGGAAATTTAGAACCAGAACTCCTTTAATGAGCATCTGATACTAGTAATCGAGAATGAGCCACAAGATTTCAAGTATGTCATATGTTGTATCAGGTGGGTAAACATATTATTTAGAATCATCATTATGTTGAAGTTCTGTACATTAAATTTTCTAAAAAAATTTCACTATTGCAATTAGAATCACCATCTAAATTTGTTGCACAAAAATAAATAACTAATTATTTTGTTGCTGGTGTTTCTACCTATTAGTATTTGGTGATTTATAGAGAACGACACATTTACATATTTTTATAACAGCGGATGTAAAATGTGTTTTTGACTACATTACTGCTATATTTTCTATAGACATAGGTAGGTACTAATTTATTTAACAGCGATATTGAAACCTTTACATAATTTGTATAAAGATAACCTGAGTTACACAATCAACTTTCCATTTTGCGATAATTCCAAAAATAAGCTAAGTGTGTTTATAAATAAAGTGGAATTAACTAGATCCAAATAACTTTTTTATGCAAGTTATTAATGAGATGGAAAAAAATATTTTAAGATATAGTTGTTGGGTAACAGTAACAGTATCAGAACGTACTTCATGTACCATCAACAATAATTGCGCAAGAATAGATTGTTTACGAATCATATTGATAGGGGACAAAAATATATACTAACACAAAACATACAAAACCGTACAGTAATTCTGGATTTCAGTTGCCAGTGTCGTAGATACAGGGCCAGTCCTTTCGTGAACTGTATCTTCTACGCCTATGACTTTTTAAATTTTCTTTATGCATGTTTTGTTAAAACGAGATATTTAAAAAAATTACTTATATCAAAATTTCATATTTTATTGGATTTTGGAATAAATTACATGATAGAACTTTTATTATTTATTATTATTTACTTTTGTTTTATAACAGGAACGACAGAAAAATTAAATCTGAACGAGGTTGGTATACAAAAAGTATGTAAGCATAGTCTAAGTTTCTTATCGCGAAAACTTTTACAGCTAGATGAATTCGATACCTTTTAGTTTAGAATTGCAGAGCAAGACTATTTTTTTGTGACGGATTTTTTTTCGTTTTTTTTTTCGCCATTGGAAATAATTTCACATACACCGTAAAAGAAATTCACTCAATTTAACTTAATAATGTATCAATTTCTGTCCACACCCGATCGACTAAAATATTCACTCTATTAGTATGAATACAACTAAAATTTTATGAGTGAAAATGTTGCAACAGAAGTGAGTGAATTTTACTCAAATTCGAGTTTCCGCTAACTATCAAGTGAGTAACTTTTGACTCTATTCTGAGTATGTAAAAACAAATAAGAGTTGACTTTTCTCTAAATTTAACTATTATTGAGTAATTTTTTACTGAGACTTAGTTTATATTCTATACATTTTTATACTCTGATTTAGGTACAAGTGTACCATATACGAGTACGAGTTTATCTGTAGAAACTATTTAACGGGTACCTATATTTGAGTAAAAGTACTCAGATTTAGTTAAAAAATTATAACAAATGATTAAAATTTATCAAAACGCTCAATACTGGGTGATATTCAATAATTTCACTCAACGAATTCCGTACCTTTATTGCTTCCACTCACACCGATTTTTTTACAGCGTAAAAACAGAACCTCTAAAGTCCCATTGAAAATAGAACAATCAGTACAATCAGAGTTTGTTGGAAATATGAAGAAAATTATTTTTATCCTGCCCTTGAATATAAATAATATCTAATTTCCGATTTGTCAGTTGAATCTGTATCTGTTTTATTTGTTTTAACAGATTATATTTTAGATATATATCTACATGTATATTTACATCTAATATTTTTTTGTTTATTACTATTCTAAAAGGTATTTTTTTAGTTACAAAATATCCTGAGATGCTTAACAGTAAATATAAATGGAAATGAAAAATTTCAAAGGGAGCAAACTAAACTAATATAAAAAATAACAATAACTAAAAAGTTTACGTTTACGGAAAATCATTGGAATATGGTTCCTTGATACGTAGTGGTAAACATAACTAGATTAATCATAAATGAACCTATTTTCTCTGTTCCCTGCCAATAAACTTCAGTTATGTATATTTGTTTGTTTTTACGATCTATTGTTTTTATTAAGCAACAATAACTAATTAAATAAACAAACGTTACCCATAATAAAAAAATGAGCATTAGTCTGTACTTTCCCTTTATTGTTTTTCCATTTACCGAAGTTTAAAGAAAATTTAAACGTCAGATAAATAAACGTAAAAAATTAACTTTCTAAGCTAGTTCAAAACGTTAGTGACCAACAGTGATAACAGTTTAATTAAAGAAATGTAAACAAATCGACGCTTAAATGGGTATTAATTTATATGTTTCCAATACTTATTACAATTGCGGATTTACGTTATTTAAACAAAAATAATGAATTTGATATCGGGGTCATTTTAATTTAGAGTTGGCCTAGCTTGTGCCTGCGCTTCTGCTTGGGAAAAATCAAATCAATTAACTTAAAGATAAAGCACATGTATTTAAATAAGCGATTTGCAATTTTAGTGTTAGTATAGTTAGTAATTCTCTTGGTAAGACGAGGTGTTGAACACAGTCGTCAGAATGAGAGTTTTGGTGAGTTACAAAAAATCATGAAATTGTTAACTTTGTGTTGTGCATATTTTGTTTTCCTCACAAAAAAATAAAGGGAAAGAATTTATGGAAAAGTTATTGTTATTTTTATTAATTTTATCCATTTGTCAATACTGTTAAATGACATGACAAGCATAATCATTCGGTTTTTTATTCGAATAAAGAAATTAATAACATTAGTCATCATTTTTATGATTTTATTTGAGTTTTGAGCTCAAAAATCCCTCCATCTCCACGAACATAGGCCCGACATTTTTTTATTAACGAAAATGTAATTTGTTCGAAATTTATTGTTGCTTGAATCTAATGAACAGCATTATTTATTCTTTCCTCTAACTGCTCAGAATGTCAAAGTTGCTATCGCAGCCCACTAGGTATTTTTAAAAAGCATTATATTCGAATATCGAATTGTGTACTCAGTTCGTTTTTTAAGTTTTACTCGAACATCAGGCTTTTTTCGAAAACTATAAGAGAGTAGTAACTTGTAGAAAATTGAAAGATAAATCCGAAAATATCATGGTTGTTGCCGTAAAGCAGTGGCGTACTATTTTATTTAGAAAAATATACCACCGCCACCCTGTTTCTCCGCCAATGGAGCATGTAAATTTAAGGAAAAGCCCTCAGATTTTGGACAATGTTTACATAAATACATGTGCTCAATTTCAAATTATTTCATTTAGTAGATTTTAAATTTACATTTTTCTTTAAAATAATGCATCAAAAAATGTCTTCAAGGTGAAACGTTTACTTAAGAAAATATTCATAAACTTGGAGGAAAAAACACTTCTTCATTTTTGACATATCTATTCATACCCTGTATAATAAAGAAGTATTTAATTTTTGAGCTTTGTATCATAGGCTTCGCAAAATTGCCCAATCAAATATTTTCCCTGTTACTGAATTGCATATTACAGGGAGATACAAACACCGTCACCATCATCGACCCTTCTGAACTTTTACGCCCAGAACCGAAATTCGCCAAGAAACCGATTGGGGCGTTTAGGGATTTCAGTATCGATGAGTCGGATCCGATCAAGGAAAGGGTTAGAAAAACTTACGAAGAAATGCACACATACCAGACAGTGGACTTTGTAAAAGGTGAATATGTAGCTATTACACTGATCGCGTTTAAATAAGCAATGAGTTTCCTTAATATCTTGACTGTAAGATAAATATTTTAAAAAGGGTACAGTATTAACTCATAACTAAGATGTAACATATGGCATCTCTTTGAAGAATTAAATAGATATTGAGGCTCAATGGTCTAGGGGTATGATTCTCGCTTTGGGTGCGAGAGGTCCCGGGTTCAAATCCCGGTTGAGCCCACTTTTTTTTTGTTCATCTTTAAAACAAACGTATTTAAAATGTTCATTTTGAGTCAAAACTCAATTTTAATAATAATATGAACAAACAGCATTGCAAAACGGTCCAGATTATACATTTTTTCAGTATTTTTATATAGACAGCTTGGCAAATATGTAGTTAAAAATAGCACGCCATGAGTGAAAATATTCTCACGAGACTTGAAAGGTTATCTCCATCAAATTAACTCGAAATAAATATTCCATTTGCGCAAGATTTGCTGTAAGATTAGCTAACGGAAAATTTTGGTTACATTTTACACTTTGCTCTAACACGTTAACATATACAGTGTATCTTTAAAAAATATATTCGCGCTTTAAGAATAAACAAATGTTTCACAAAAATGTACGTCCTTTTCAAGATACAGAGTGTTGGGGGATTAAAAGTTTTATTTCATTATGTGGAAATATCTGTTCTTGTATCTGTCGATAAACTTTAGCCTGACGTAAATGAAATACCAGTTTCTTAATTTCACCTTTTGCTACTATTTTGCAAGCAACAGGGGATATATTTTCCACAAATACATAAATATGGCAATATAATTTCTATATAGCATACAGGACATTTACAGACGAATGGTTCGTACCTAAAAGGTAGCTTCTTTGAGTGAAAATGAACTGATAAAGTTATTATTGAACACTATTGCCTTACCCCTGCCGCAACAAACGGTATTTGGGCGATTTAAGTAACATAAGCAACAAGATATATTAAATAACGCCCTGTAGGAAGTCGTTGGTCGTTAATTTTATTAAACCAGTACTGGATACTTAATTGTCATTTTAACAGTTCGAAAATATGTGACGGTGAGGTGACATTTAACTTGAGGCTACCTTTGACCTTTAGAAAAACCTTTTTTCGAAATTTTTATACTTCGCTGGACAAGTTAATGTGATCTTAAATAGCGCGCGATGGTCGCAGAGCATACACACTTGGGAACTACGGTATGCATTGTTAACAAATCCCACAATTTAAAGGAAAGGAAGTTACTTTTATTAAATGGGTGGGAAATTATTTTTTCAGTTCAAAACATTCAAAAGATCCAACACTAACCAATACAAAATGATTTTCACATTTATGAAAAGTTATATTTTTTGGCAGCTAAGCAAGAGAAGTGGACGAAATTCGACCACTTGAAATGCACCATGCGAGAAGCTCTAGAAAGACTTAACGAACTGGTAGATGAAAGTGACCCCGATGTGGACATCCCCAATATGATCCACGCTTTCCAGACCGCTGAGAGGATCCGCAAAGACTATCCCGATGACGACTGGTTCCACCTGACTGGCCTTATCCATGACGCTGGAAAGGTGCGCAATTTTTGTTTGAGATTTGCCAAGTCAGTTCCATACTTCACTGTACAGAGACATAGCAGTTGTTCACATTTACAATTAAGTAAAATTAAGATAGCTAGAATAATAAAGTATATGTATACTTAAAAACAAAACTTCAGGTTATGGCCTTTTTCGACGAACCGCAGTGGTGTGTAGTCGGTGACACGTTTGTGGTTGGTTGCAATTGGAGCGACAACATTGTGTACCGAGACACATCTTTCAAGAAAAACGTGGATGGCAGGAATCCAAAATACAAGTAAGTGAAACTGCAAGTTTTTCAATTTGAGTTTTAACAAACTAAAAAACTAAATTTAGAATAAAAAATCAGTCTTTATAACACACCTGTCACATTTTATGCATGAAAATGAGATCTTTTATGATAGACACGTAAATTGTTATACGCATCGTTGCCATCGGTTCCACAATCTGGATGTGATCCTTATAGATCGCATCATCAGGTATCTTCCTACCCTTGTTTCAGCGAAACTTATTCGCGGCGGTGATAAAATATCTTAATTTGAAGAGAACGACCGTTCGACATCTACTGATGTAAAATTTGCGTAGTTAAATACATAACCTACATCCAAGCTGATCCGACATGGTAATTTCCACTCGGGATTGTATTTATTCCAGTAGGAACGAAATGTTTTATTATTTACTATATCAAATGCTAGGTTACATGAAATCAGTATTGAAGCTAAATAATTTACCACTTACTTTGTGTTACATCTACCAAAATAATTTGGTCAGTTTGTTTTTTAACGTAAACATAAAATGTGTGAATAAAATTTGAAGTAACATAGGAATTAAGAGGGCTTGGCTCAGTTCAATTGTCACCTTTGGCTGCTGCTTTCACACCGGTCAAAAGTACTACTTGTAATATCAAATAATTATGCAGATTAGGATAGTCTACAAGATGTTACACTTCCCTCTTACCGTACAACGTTATTAATGGTAAAAACAGTTAACATTTTATAGATTTGAATAAGGACCACATGTAGGTCGATGTAATCAAATGTATGTACTATTTTTAGTTTCTAAATTACGTCTGTGCCTCGTGTCTTCTCTGTATATAAGTATTTGATATCATTATTTAAGTATCCCTCAATGAATTGTCGATTGTTAATATACAAGGTGTTGTGTAACGGAATACCAGATATGAAGAACATCCACGCTCGAATTTAAAAATATTTTTTCCAATGTTGATTAACATTAAATCCTAAAAACATTTAATATTTGAAGCCATAATTTCCTCAGAATTTATAATCCTAAGATTGCTATGTTTATTTTAAATGCGTTTTTTTTAAAGTTTTTGAAAAATTGTATTAATTAATTTTTAATCCAAAATCTGATAACATGACGTTTTACTAAATACCCGCAAAATACTTTTGTAAGGTACACTTGTAGATTTAAGGGAATGACTATTTGTGTCGAGTTGCTGCCATTTATTTTAGGTGTATCGTGACTATCATTTAAAAAACTCAGTTTATTTTAAAATTAATTACAACAAAAAATAATAATAATAATTTATTTAGTTCCACCAACAGTATAATCACTTATGATGTAAGATAATAGTAAATCTCTCTGCAATATTCGTAATATGAATGTTCAACAGTTTTAATATAACGTGACACAATTTTTTCCAAAAATATGACAGTAGTATTTAAAGTAATATTATATTTATTGTTATACAACGTGATGATAAAATTTGGAATAAAATTCATAACTTTTATACTGAGTAATTAAAAAAAAACGCCGAGACAGGTCGATTTTGTTCTCGGGAGGGACATCTTTTTTGATGAATCAGTTGTATACAACGGGACCAGAACTGCTGGACGGCCAATAAATTTGTTTTTTCTTATGGAACAAGACACCTTGTATATTTTTTCATATTTGGATAAAGCTTTCTCTTAGAATACAGTGATGTAAGGTTTGATGGGTCTATCTAAAATAAAAAGCGAGATATTGCGAGGAAATTACATTACATTTTTCTAAAAATTATTTAATATCATTCTTCATAGAAGAAATTGTACTTGGAAACCAAACAAATGCAAATAATTAACGAAATTTAACGTAAATTTTTAAATTGTCCTCCACAAACAATTTGGCACTGGCTCGCGCGAGTGTAAATACTTTGTACACTACGTTCAATAATTTTTGGGCTGATTCTTTCCATTTCAGCACGAATTATCAATTGTAAGTCTGCTAAATTATTTGGTCGATTGAAGTATAGACACTAGATTTTAAATAACCCCATAGAAAAAAATCCAGATGTGTCAAGTCGGGGGAACGCGGGGGCCACTCAAGAGATCCTCTCCGCCCTATCTTTTTTTCAGGAAATGTATCATCAAGATATTGCCCAACCACTAAGCCAAAGTGAGGTGGAGCTCCATCTTGTTGAAATCAAATATTTTCGTGTATCGCCATCTGCAGCGTTGGGGAAAAGAACTGCTACAACCGGCATCAACTCAAAACGCAGAAGATCTAAATATCTAGCAGCAGTAAAGTTTTATTCAAAAAAGTAAAGACCTAAAAATGGCCTTCCTATGATTCCCACCCATACATTTAATTTGCCTTTACGCTGACTGTGGAATTCTTGCACCCAATGGGGACTGTCATTTAACCAATATCTACAATTATGGCGATGTACTGAGCCATTCAAACAGAATGTGGCCCTCGTCAGAAAAAATTATGTTGCTTAGAAAGTTTGGCGGTCTGGGTCATCCTCATTTAATTCGTGTATCAGCGAGACTCCATTATACTTTTCTGTATGAAGCAACTTTACAACATATGATTGGTCCACATTGTTGTTTAGGGCTAGTTGTCTTGTTGACTGATGAGGATTTTCTTCAATTTGGTTTCTTCGGCGATTTGAGGTCGACCTTGTCGTGTCCTATCTCTTACACACCCAGTCTCTGTCAACTTGGTGACCAATTTACTCACTATAGATTGTGCAATTGGTGGTTGATTAAACAGCTTCCGCATGGGTTCGTAGCTTATCACCATATCCAACCATCATTAAGATCTCTATCCTTTCACGTTCAGTTAAATGTGCCATTCCTTCTAAGCTCCAAAAAATTCAGTGATAAATTTGCGAAGTTTATTAAATTTTCGTTAATTATATGCATGTTTCGTTTCCAAGTACAATTTCTTCAAAATCGACCTGTCCCGGCGTTTTTTTAAAAATCACTCAGTATAAAAGTTATGAATTTTGTTCCAAACTTATGCGCTGTATTTCAATTGATATCATCGCCCCCATCTAATTTTTTGCAAGTCCCAGATCTTGTTTTCTGCAAAGAGTCGACGTTCAATCGCCCTTTATGGTGGCTCCGCCAATTCTCGGGAAATGCTCTTCGGTATTGATTTCAATATCTATAGCCTCTCCAAATTTGAGTAATTCTTGAGGCAAGACAGGGCAAGTCAATAAACTTTGTCGTGGAATCTGGTTATTTTAGGTGTATGTAAGACAACTCGGTCTCCAGCTCGAATTTCGTGGCATTCCTAGTGTCTTTGAAGTTTTTAGAAGAATAGTAATAAATCGAAAAAGAAAAAGCTTCTTTTAAAGGACTTCTGGTAATTTTCCCCTCCAAAATGAATAGGAAAAGGGATTACTCCCTCGAAAAATAGAGCTGGTGCTTCTTAACAAAAAGAATTCCAGTATTTTTCGGAACCCCCTTGAAATTTGTATCATATATTCATGAGTGTAGCACCCTATGAGCTAACAATTAAATCTACATCAACTAATAAAGATTTCTCACCTCAGTTTCGTGAGTTTGCCAACTAATTTCGTTATATGCAGTAGTCGCGAACTTTATTTTGTCATTAGCGAAGTTTCGGAAAGGTTTTGAGCAGGGAAGACTTGGAGGCGGCATGTAAGACGCTCTTATAATTAATCTTAACGTGTCACTTTCCAAATAAGGGGAAATTTGTATATCAAAAGGCCTGTGTTGTCGGGTGACGGCGTGTGTACTTTCCACGAATACAGTCGACGGGTCGACGACGCAGGCTGAGAAGTTTCCAAACTTAATCGGATGGTGCTTTTTTAGGGCCCCGACAGGCGATCCGACTCCTCCCTCGGATTTTTCACGAACAATTCTCAGCTGAATCCGGAGCACAGCGTTAAACAGCACTTTTTTTCTATTGTGGAGTTATACTTCCTCGTCACTTTTTTACTTGATCAAAATTTAGTTTAAAAATAGGTCGGTCCTCAAAAAGCGTATTGAATGTACTGAATCGGAATAGATTTTTCGTTTCTTAATTTAGAAATCCTTTGACTAGTGATTTTAATATGTTTAGAACAGTAGTTTACGTCATTACGTCTTGAAAAAGGTGTTTCAAGAGATAAAACAAAATTGTGAGATAGTTTCATTATTAGCTACCTATGTAGCTATGTCCTTATCCTAAGAGCCTTTGTACTATCCCTCACACTGACATCAGACACAACCCGCGTACTATGCGACGCGTACATTAACCGCGAACTGAAACTACAAGATAAATATAGTTGTTGTTACGATGTCAATTGGAACCTGTAAATCTTAAAGCACAGGACCGTATGCACTTCTCCTGAAATTTCTTCTTATGCTTTGACCATGATATGTCTCGTAATTTATACTCGAATTGCAATTCGGCGATTCCGGTATTGGTAAACTAATCCGCCTGATGTAGAATTGACGGCGGCGCGCTGGTCATCAAAGCAAACTTGTATTGGTCCACTAGGTCGTAAATAATTTTTTTTGCCGCTTTGCCAGTGCCGTGCAGAGCATTGCTTGGTGGGTGTATGTTGTTGGTATAATACGTATTATTATTTATTAGTTGATATTATTATTTGTTCATATCGTAACCAGTAAACGGTAATAATTATTAAAATAAATGTTATATGTAATTATCTAGTAATTTAACGTGGCTCTCTGGAGACTATTTGAAGCGGAGGTTAACGAAATAACTCGGGAAAATCCCCAAATAGTGGAACCGGTTTTTGTCGAAGTTATCGAAACAAACTCAGAATTTAGAAACAAAGATTTACACGTAAAAAGTCAACGTATTATATTAAATATATATGAATGTTTGAAAATTGAAAATAGTGAACAATGTGATAAAAAAGTTAGGAAACGGATTAACGAATTAACTAAGATATCCAAAAAAGGCCATTTTATCACGTAATTAAAGAAGGATTGATCACGGTACAAAGAGGAAACGGAAAATACAAAATTAAAGAAGATTTACGATTTTACCAGATGTAATGCGACGCACAATTTATAATATGTATAAGAAAATAAAGTTCCTACTTTAAACATGATTCGAGATAAATTAAGCGATTATCCTGATTATAATTATAAATTTTTAGATATTTTACGACATGCTTTATTACAATGCGATTTTAAACATAAAAACTTGACAATCGTATGGTAATTATATGGTAATATAGCTCGGAATATAGTATATCTAGACGAGACAGGGCTAAATTTTTCTGGACGTCTATGGATTCCGTAGAATTTATGAGTTAAATGTTTTTATGCGGTTCCAATTGAGATCGTAACAACTATTACAAGCAGCTTCGAACCGGCCTCAGTTCCCTCCTAAATCACGTTATTTTAACCGCCTCGCGCGAAGGGGAAACTATAGCATATTGTAGGCAAGTATAAAGGAACCCACAAACATTCCGGAAATTCTCAGGGGAATAACTGCACAGGCCTGGCCTTAAGGATTTTACAATTTGGCCTGAATACACTCGGCCTCACACACGCTCAGGAAATCCTTCAGTTCAGTTCAGTTCGTAGGTAGTAGCAAATATGGTGTCATCAGATGATTATCTTGCTATGCTCGCTCTTTTATTAGTAATAACCATATCTTTAGAGGCGTTCGGTTCAATCGCATTCAGTTTTTCAATTAAACGTACATATCCAGCATCTTTTTTTACCTTGTCGTGATAATCCTTTAATCCTTACAATTAACCTGCCAGAGGCACGTTTCAGATAGGGTTTCTGGTCGAGACTTCTCGAAGCGAGAATTCCCGGGAAATCTGGCCTTACTCGAGACGAGAAAAAAGTGTCGAGAAATCGAGAAATTGAGAAATTTCAAAATCACGCGCGTCTTAAGTTCTTGACTGGAGTTCGTTTCGTTCATACGTTCAATTCGTTTCTCGACAAATAACTGAGCGGTTAAAGTGGTTTCTCTACCAGCTCATGATTTATTTATTTTAAGTTTTTAAGGCTTTAGTTTACTTTGATGATTCTTTTTTTAATGTACAGGGTGATTCACTATATTTTGACCCCCCTTTAACTTTTTTGTTTTAAGAGTTATAAAAAAATGTGAAATACAAAAGTTGCACGATTTTTTATGAAGTTTTCGAAAATGATAGTAGAAAAACAAATGAAGTTCAAACAAAATGGCCGCGGATGTTAACTTTGTTAATTTAAATGGAACACCCTGTATATTTTTACATATTTGGATAGAACGTTCCTTGTCGAGCATAGTCATATAGGGTTTGTTGGGTCCATCTCTAATAATAGGCGAGATAATATTAAAAAACGAAATGATGTTTTTTTATTAAGAAAATAAGACATCTTGTAATTGTTAGACCTCTTTCAGGCATTTCTGCCTTTTTTCCAATTACGTAAGGATTTAGATTTAGTTGTAATATATTTTGACATATCGGACATTGATATAGTCCAAAATGCGTATAGGTATTTTAAGTAAATCTCACTAATTAGACCGTGTGAGGCCAATTACTCATGGACAATCTTATATATGGTAGGTCGTGACAGTGACAGGTAGTAATGTCATGATAACATTGTTATTGTTTGACAGTTTGTATTAGTATTTAATTAAAATGGGTTACACAGAAGTAGAAAATTGAAATATTATTAGGAATTAAAATAAACTATGGAGAATATCTTAACTACTCTATCTTAATTCCTATAATATTTAAATTTTCTACTTCTGTGTAACCCATTTTAAATAAATAATAATACAAACTGTCAAACAATAACAATGTTGTCATAATATTACCTGTCACTGTCACGGCCTACCATATAACATTGTCCATGAGTAAATAAGCCCCTCACGGACTAATTAGTGCGATTTAGTTAAAATACTTATACCCATTTTGGACTATATCAATGTTCGATATGTCAAAATATATTGCAAATAAATCTAAATCCTTACGTAATTGGAAAAAAGGCAGAAATGCCCGAAAAACGTCCAACAATTACAAAATATTTTATTTTCTTAATAAAAAACGTTCTTTTCGTTTTTTAATATTATCTCGCTTATTGTTAGAGATGGACCCAACAAACCATATATGACTGTGCTCGACAGGGAACGTTCTATCCAAATGTGTAAAAATATACAGGGTGTTCCATTTAAATTAACAAAGTTAACATCCGCGGCCATTTTGTTTGAACTTCATTTGTTTTTCTACTATCATATTCGAAAATTTCATAAAAAATCGTGCAACTTTTGTATTTCACATTTTTTTATAACTCTTAAAACAAAAAAGTTAAAGGGGGGTCAAAATATAGTGAATCACCCTGTACCTAGTTATAAGTCTGTGTAGAAATTTTATTATAAGCAGATACCTAATGTTGAAGTGATAAATTAATAGGAAGAACGCTTCTGTATCTTTAAATTAAAGCTTGTTTTTTTTTAAGATTTCTTCGGTTAAATTCCTTATTTACTATTTATTTAATTAAAAGACTGCATGATTAATGATTATTAATAATTATTATTGGAAGAAAACTACGATTCAAAAACATTGAAATAAACATAAGTATATTGAAAGTGTTTAATAAAAAAACAAGTTAAAGGTTTTTAAGAAGAAACTCAAAGTTTAATTTAGTTTTGTTAGTAGAAGTAGAAACATAAGTAATTAATAAAAATACTGAATAAATAATAAATGTTAATGATGATTGTTAAGTATAATAGCATGTTTATATTTCGCATTGCAATACCAAAATTATGACTTTTTTAAGTTTTAGAAAATTCTCGAGAATTCGAGAATTCCCGGGAATTCCTAGTCGAGAATTCTCGAGACCCGAGAAAAAAAATAGGCCGAGAAATCAGAAACACTAGTTTCAGAGTCGTAAATAGCAATAAATTCCTTTAGAAATTCAAGAGACATGTTGGCACATGCTCCAATTTTCATAATATCGAATATTGTAAATCGCGTGAAGCACATTAGCCAGTGTCAACGGTCGAAATGTCGAAATTCGTCACACACGCTTCGGTCGGCCTGTATAGTCCCCGCCTGCGCAGGATTATCAAATAGATTTTCAATTCTAAATCCGGCGATTTGTACAGTCCGATAAAACTTACGGCATTTTCCACACACGCTCAGGTAATCCTCAAGGTCAAGCCTGTGCAGCTTTTCCTCTGAGGATTTCCGGAACGTATGTGGGTACCTTAACGCGACTACAAGCAAAGAATTTCTGGCCTCACTGTGGTGGGGACTAGTGGGGAGTAACAATATCCAATCACGCGCCGATAAGAACGACGAAGAGCGAGCGGCGAGATATTCAATATTCAAACAATTATTTTATACTGTTATTTTGATTTTTGATAAATGTAATAGGTAATTGGAGATTAGTTTACCTAACTGTTTGTGAGAGAGCAAAATTTCACAATGAAGTCCGGCCTCAGTTGCTTCATACGACGAGCCGCCACTGAAAAATTTAATATTCCACCAAAATGCGTTTATTTTCCAGCACGAAATACGGAATGTACGAGCCGAACTGCGGCCTGGCCAAGTTGACGATGTCTTGGGGTCACGACGAGTACTTGTACAGAATGTTGGTTCACAACAAGACCAAACTGCCGCCTCAAGCCCTGTACATGATCAGATTCCACAGCTTCTACCCCTGGCACACCAGCGGCGATTACGAGCATCTGATGACGGAAGAAGACGAGGATACCAAGAAATGGGTGCTCAAATTCAAGTAAGTCATAAGATCAACAGTTTTTTTGCAACCATTTCAGCATTCAGTTAGTTGTTTTAGTCAATATGCAATAAAATGATGTAAATTCCCAGTACATCGTAAAGTGCAAAAGTTGTGTGCAAAATTACATCATTTCCCATTCTTTTCCATAAATTTCAATTCTTAATTCAACTACTTTCTTTTTTTTTCAGTCAATACGACTTGTACACCAAAAGCACAGACATTCCTGACATCCAAAACCTCTGGCCCTACTACGAGAGTCTAATTGAAAAATACATCCCAGGAGTATTGGAATGGTAATGGATTTATAAATTCTACATGCTGCAGTTAGTGTGTATTACAATTTGTTAAAATTTGTATGGACAAACCGCAAAATGCAATTTATCAAAAAAGCTGCAGATCATTGTTATGAAAATGGAACAAATATTAAATGGGTGCCTAAATAATGTAGATTTTTATGGATTTATGTCATGTTTTATCGGGTAATTTAAATATACATGGTGGCTTTTAAGTTTTTCTTTTTAAATTCCCTCCCATTAATATAAGTCGTTTTATTATTCAGATATTAAAATTAATAATAAAGTCAATGCAGAATATTTGAACTTTACTTTTGTAGCTGTTTTATTTCTCAGCAATGAAAAAAGTCATTAGCCAAATCTACTTGTATTGGTTTATTACAGTTTTGTAAAATATTTTATAATCATAATTCTGTGCAGCAACAAACTTTATTTTAAATAAAATACCATTAACCTATACATATACCTATACTTTTGTTGCTTCGAAAAGAAAGAGTAAAGAAATAATGCATTCATTATACATTTATTATGCATTATATAATATTATTAATTAACCTGATTATAAGTTTTTCAGGGGAAAGAAATAAAAACTATTTAAAATTAAAATCCAGTAATAGACTACTTCTCCCATCTACCGGGATAAATCATAACTTGTTGGTCTATTGAAATATTTTTCTATAATTGCCCCACTCTTGTGCCATCTAATGAAATGTGTAGTTATTAATTGGTGATTAGATCCGTTCGTATTTCAAACACGATCAACAATTTACTCCATTGCAGTAAAGTTTTATTAATTGACTGTTCCTACATAAGGCATTTTTAAATATTCGGCCATATTTCTTATATCTAATAAATCAAATTATTGCTTCAGATAACCCTCAAAATATTTTTTTTAATCTTTCACACAATTATCAATCCAAGTTATTAGATAGTTCGGATCAGTCCAACAAACAAATCGAGTGAGTAACCCTCGAACAAAGACGGAAAGGTTCCTAAAAAATCAGCTGACGTAAATATTTTGACTTTTCTGTCAATAGTGTCAAGCGTGAGTTTGGTTGATAGGCTTGATTTGCTATAATTTATGTCAGTAAGTCCCCCATTCACACATAATTCAAATAAGATTATTTTTGATTTAAAGATTAATAATTAACCAAAAATGGCGTGGACAAACTACCAAATGTTGTTGGCTGTGGTTATGGTTATTACTGGCAGTATTAATACCTTAAGTACAAAGTAAGTAAACCTTATTATTGTATCATAAAAAGTATTGAATCATGGAAGTAATAAATCGTTCTATGTATAGATGTTTACAATAGGAACTGCATTTTACTATTGTATTTTTCCACTTCGTTTATTTAAGGCTCTGTGACGTCCCTTGGTAATATATTTTTCAAATTTTATCATTAACCACAAGATTTAAGTAGAATGTACATTTTATCACTAACCACAAAGAGATTTAACTTATTATTAAGAAATATACATATTTATATATTTAATTTAAAAGTCGCAGCAAAAAACAAAAGGGAATTCCAAAAAATGCATAGTAAGCAATGTAAGTATTGCAGAATATGCTATATCTACCCATGTCCCCCTTCTATTAAAGTGTATTGCCTCTTTTTATATATATTTAGTCTTTTCTCATTAACTATAGAACTATACATGGGCTGCTTTGTTTTATTCAAATATAATCCTTATTATCTGTGTATAAATAGAACAACAGATAATGAAATAATATATATTTTTTAAAGTAGATGCTGATGAGAGTAGGTACTTATTCATATTTTTTCATATCCCATATGAAAAAGAATGTCCTAGTTTTTCCATCAATTTATTTGTCTTTGGCTTTACTTAAAGTAAAAAAACTAAAGTACAAAATGTATTGGATACTTTGGTATCCATTACCTACATTTAATAATAAATGAAACATGATATCTATATTTAGTCTATGATTCATAAAAAGTTTCATTCGAACTCAGATTTCAATGTTTTTATTTTTTATATTAGTGCTGTTGAATGTATTTGCTTATCAACAGGCATTTCTAGCACAGTTTGATTTATTATCTTTGAAACATAAATAAAAATATCAATTTTATCATCTGAATTAGGGAATTCACATATCAGCAAAATTTGCAGTCATGGGATTCACACCAATCTTTTCACACAATTTATTTAACTTTTTTCTGTTAATGTAAAATAATTTAATTGTAGTCCTTTTAATTAATTATTTATTTGACATGTAATATAATACATTAAACATACGAATGTGTAATAATTAGTCCAGATTTTATAAAATATTTGCTTATTTGTGAGAAATATAAGGATGTCATATCTTAGTTTATTCAAATATTGATTAAATTGTTAGAATCAGTTAAAAAAGCATGTTTATTTTCTCTTTAAATAATTTATTGTGATATTTTAGTTAAATTTTTATAAGTATGAGTTGTTATTCATGAACTTTACTTACAAATTCTTCAGTTCAAAAACTGTTTGTTTCAAACTATCTGAAGAACTTGATTAAATAAATTTGATTGTTATTTATTGTTATTTAACAATTAAATGTTCATTATAATGAAGCGTGACCAAAGAATTCCTCTCTTTCATTAGTGTTTTTTTTTTGTTTCTGCATAAGAAATATTTTCAATAAACACCTTTAATTCATCCGACTATTGTAAAATAATAACTATGAAGGCTGTTTAGTTATGCTTCAATCAATGATTTCCAGTGAAATAAGAATAATTTTAAATAATGGACATATTAAGCTCGTTTACTGCTAAAAATGTATTAATATGTTCTTCGATTTTGTTTTCGGCGATAATTTAATTTCTTTTTGTTTGCAGATGGGCAGATGAAATCAAATCTAAAGGAAGGGATGGTGAACTAAAGAATTTTAACCATCCGTTCTTCCAAGCAAGTTCCATGTTTCTGGGTGAACTTTGCTGTCTTATTACCTTTAAAATTCTATACAAAGTTTACAGCTTAAGATCGGTATGTAAAAATATATAGAACTGTGAATTAATTTTGAAGATTTACAATAGGTGACGTAACTTATGTTATATCGCGTCGTACACTTCTGTAACTATATTCATGTCAATATCAAAGCTCTGTCATTAGGCTTTACTTTTATTACGTCATTTTGCTGTAGTGTATACAACAAATTTTTTCTCAGCTCCGAAGGTATTGAATTACGAACCAATAAAACACTATTTGCGGGAAGTTTTACTTTTCCTGTTTAATTCAAAGAAAAGTGCTGCTGGATGTCATCGAGTGTTGTTAGCTTACGGTGAACATACTCCATTGATAAAAACGTGTTTTAGAAGTGTTGATTTTGATGCGATTGATAAATAACGCTATCGTCAACCGAAAAAGTTCGAAGTTGAGGAATTGGAAGCATTACTTGACCAAGATGAACTTGTTGAATCGTTGAATGTTGATCGCATAACAGTTTCTAAAAGATTAAATGCACTCGGTATAATTCAAAAGCAAGGAAATTGGGTGCCGTACGAATTGAAGCCGAGAGATGTTCATCTGCAGTAAACAAATGCTTTAATGGCAACACAGGAAAGGTTTTTTGTATCGTATTTGAAGAAAAATGGATATGTTATGATAATTCTAAGTGTTGAAAATCGTGGGGTCTGCAAGGTTCGAAGCTCATGCTCTGTATTTGCTGGGACCAGCTTGGTGTTGTTGCTTCAGCTGAATGTGAAATCACTTGTAAATGCTACCGAACACAATTGCTGCGTTTGAACTGTATATTGAATAAAAACGGATGGAATTCGATCAAAGGCACGATAAAGTACTTAGAAACGCTGAAATAGTATTTTACCCCTCCCGCCATATTCACCAGATATTGCTCCATCGGATTACTATTTGTTCTGCTCCATAGAACATGGACTAGCTAAGGAGCGCTTCCAATCTTACGAAGATATGAAAAATTGGATCGATTGCTGATGACTTGTTCTTTCGAAGTGGAATGTTTATGCTGCCGGAAAGATGGGAAAAAGTAGTGGCTCGCGATAGAGAACTTTGAAAAATAATAAAATACACAATTTTTCACAATAAAGCCTTGAATTTACCAAAAAAAACCCACAGTCCTAGTAGTATTAACTTTTCTCTTGAACAAAGATGTGTTTAAAAAGTATTGTCGTTAGATAATGTTCGTAAAACTTTATTACAGGACGGCACAGAAGATGTCAATGAACTCACCAAGGGTAACCGAAGCTTTAACCCTTTCATACTGTTCATCCCCGCCATGTGCGACATGACTGCTACGTCTATCATGTACATTGGGTTAAACTTGACTTATGCCTCAAGTTTTCAGATGTTTAGAGGTACGATTTGTTCAAATTCACTGTTTTCTCGTGTCTATCATTTAATGACATTAAACTTTTTCATTCTTTTCTTCTAGGGTCTGTGATAATCTTTGTTGGTCTTCTCAGTACGGGCTTCCTGGACAGGGTGTTGAAAAACAGGGAGTGGACGGGAATATTTTTCGTAATAGCAGGTCTGGCCGTCGTGGGCGTAGCCGATTTCATATCAAAAGACACCAATGCTGATAATCACGGAAGAAACGATATTATAACCGGTAAGTGGTTTTTAAAAAATTTTAAAACGTAATAGTACATAAAAAGGATTTTTTTAGGTGACATGCTCATAGTTATCGCTCAGATTATTACGTCCATTCAAATGGTTGTCGAGGAAAAATTCGTAGCGGGGCAAGATATTCCCCCGCTACAAGCTGTAGGATGGGAAGGTGAGCTCATTCTTTCTTAACAAGGTTTTCTCATATCGTGGTCGAGCCGATGAATGTGTTATCTGTATTTTAGGATTATTTGGATTTTTGGTGCTCGGATTCTTGCAAATTCCGTTCTACTTCATCCGTGCTGGGCCTCCAGTGACGCAGGGCGTTGGGGACCGTTTGGAAGACGCTATCGATGCTTTCGTTCAAATCGGGCACAGCTGGCGGTTGGGGCTTGCCGTGTCAGGTAAATATTGTGTTTATTTCAGCCGCCCGGTATTTTTTCACAATAGAAACATACAGGGTGTTTAATTAAAAGTGAAACGGCAAAATAGTGCTTCAGTTACTTCTTTTAATTTTTTCTATAGGCTTTAAAAGTTTAAAAAAGTGTTTGAATTTCTAAAATTATTGCACCAATCAATTTGGAATTGTACGAGGGTTGCTTTTTATATTTCGGGAAAAGAGGACATTAATCATCGTATACGGCTTTAATGTTTTTCAAAATATTCTCCATGAAGATCAATACACTTTTGCTTGAACCAATTTTCGAAGCACTATTCACAGACCGATTGAGTCACCTCCAGAACATCCTTTTGAACACATCAACTGCTTCTTCAGGTGTCGAAAAACGTTGACCTCATAATTTATTTTTGATGCGAGGGAATAAAAAAAGGCAATGGGTGCCAAATCAGGTCTGTATGGCGGATGACTCATTAATTCGACTTTTCAGCTCTCAATAAGTCTATTGTTTGAGACGATGTGTGAGAGCTCGCATTATCCTGGCGGAGAATGACGCGTTTTCGACGCTTGTTTTTCCTTATATTTCCGGAGACTTCTGGCAAACAAATGATTGTGTACCGTTCAGACATTGCACTAAAGGTACAGTTACCAACGTGCGGTTTTTCTGAAAACGCAGGCGACCATTTTCTTAGAAGTGCTTCGTACATGAACTACTTTTGTTTGATTTCGTTCATCTTGAAAGACCCAGATCAGTCGACTGCCGTTTAGTTTCGATCCATGATTCATCACCTGTTACGATGTCATAGACGTGTTTTGAAGTACCGCAATCGTATTTCTTGAGCATTTCTTTCGACCAATCGACACGAGCCTTTTTTTTGAGCATTTGTCAAATTATGTGGTAGCTTCACGAAATTCGTCAGTGAGCGAAACACGGACACGATTTAATTCTGTATACCACCGATATACAGTGGTTTTTTGATGGTGTTTCATCGAAAAAAGTCGAATTAAGTTCATGCACTGTTGTTGAGATAATCCACGTCGAAAGTTGCAAAAATAGTACAGTCATTGAAGCTTTTCACCACTGAATTCTTTGAAACTAAACCGATCGACTTGAAATTTGGCAGATAGTTAGAGAAAAGGTCAATGAACATTAGTGACATAGCGCCGATTGACGCTTCCACCTTGTTGGGGGTTGACACCACTTCTGGGGGGTGGAAATTATTTTTTTTTAAATAACGCTGGAAATTGTTAGGAGGATCAAATTTTGAGCAAAAAATATACAAAAAATTTTTTCGAGAAATCAAGTTTTTTAGTTATTCACGATTGAAAAAATTTGGAGTGAAAAAAAAACACTTTTTCAAAGTATTTTTCGCGCATAACTCAAAAACTACGCATTTTATTAAAAAAAAGTGTAATGAACAAATATGTAGCTTATAAATAAACAAAGAAAATCGTTTTTTAAAAGGTGTTGTACGTCCTATACAAAGCGAAATATGGTTAGTGGAAGGGGACTTGTTTTGGGGGGAATACTCGAATCGATGTATTCAATGTCAAATAACGGAAAAAGGATTAATTTAACGCTCCGGGAGTTTTTTGTAGTACTCAAAAAGACCTTCAAAATGAGCACTTATAAAAGTTAATTAGAGCAAAATTGAAGGAGTTATCGTCAAAAACAAATGGATTGCTCATATTTTTTAAGGAAAGATGAGCAGTAAACGCTGTACCATTTCTATCAGAATTAAAATTAATCGTAGACCCTTTACAATTAGCTTTGTTTTAGTGTTTTTCATACGATCCTGAAGTTAGACCGGTTTAGAATGTGTATTTTTTGAATAATGTACGGTAAAAGTTGGAAACGTATTTTTCATTATTCAAAAAAAATTGCCTTATTTATATAATAACTCTGAAACTATGAAAGATACGTAAAAAATGATAGACAACAAAAATGTAGCTTTTTTTTCAACAAATATTTTGCTTTTTTTTATTCCTACAGCATAAAAAATAAAGGAGATATCGCCGCTTGAAGTATCCATTTGTGAAAAAACCACCTGTCTCGAGCCGTTCGATCCTTTCCCTTTAAAAAAACGAAGGACTTAAAGGTTTTATATGCAAACGATCTTACAGCTCTTGAAATTATCTTTAAAATGCTTTTTTAGGATACTATAGCTTCAAAATTAACCGAGTTATGGTAAAAAAACCAATGACATTTTTTCAGAGCAAAATAGGCTTTCTCATTTTTGGAGCAAAATGTTAGGATTTAAGTGTGCGTCAGCCTGTATAAACGTTTATACAGGTAGATATCTACATCATACATTATTGCACAATTATAGCATTCCAAGATTTAAAACGTAATTTTTTATAATTTTTTAGCACGGGTGATTTATATGGGTTGAAAAGTGTTATGAGATACAAATTTTTTCATAAACAATTTTTATTTTAAATAATTGCACCGTTAAAGCATTCCAAGCTTTTAAAAAGTAATTTTTTATCATTTTTGTCAATACAGGGGTGGTTTTTAGGGGTTGAAAGGAAAAAATTCTTTTATTAGCTATAAGGTAACTTTTATTTTAAATAATTGCACGATTTAATCATTCCTAATCTTTAAAAAGTAATTTTTTATCATTATTTTTTGCTTCGGGGCAGTTTTTAAGGGTTAAATAGAGGATCAAAAAGATCAAATATATCATAAAACATGTTCGAGAACATGAAACATTATTTAATCTTTGTGCTTGAACAAGATTTTTATCAATAAAATGCTTAAAACTTAATTTTTTCAATTTTTTTCACTTATGGGTAGTTTTTACCCCTAAAAAACAAAAAGCGTTAATCGGTCTTATGTCACTTTTGAACTTGAGCCTAAGATGAGCCTTATTCTAAATTTTCATGCAAATCCATGCAGATTCAGAGAATTCGGAGGTTACAGCTGATTTTCAGCTTCAATGACTGTACTAAAAATAATTGCAGGGAAATGTCCACGTCTTAATTCCATTTTTTGACCAATCTGAATTGTTTTCAAGTCACTAAACAATACAAATAGTGCCTGTATATCAAAACGTTACCGACAAATAGTCAAACTTTACGATAGAGACATCGGTCGTCAGATGGCAGCACCAGAATTGTCCATTACCGAAATATAAAAGACAGCCCTCGTATATTTTAGGCATGTTTAACTCAATCGCCTCGTTTTATATCCGATAAAACACCCCACATATGAATTTAGGAACAATAATATCCATCGCCTTCTTCAACTTTGCTGGAATCAGCGTAACAAAGGAGTTGTCTGCCACAACTAGAATGGTCCTGGACAGCGTTAGGACGATAGTGATCTGGATCTTCAGTTTGGCCTTCTTGGGGCAAAAGTTCCACTGGTTACAGGTCGGTGTTTAACGCCACAATTTTAGATTGTTTTCTGAAGTACTAGTTCCGTTTCAGTTGATCGGATTCGTCCTGTTGCTGATCGGAATGTGTCTCTACAACGGTATCACCTTCGCGTCTACCTTCTTGAAAATTCGGTCCCTTATCAACAGAAGGTACAACCAGATGGAGGAAGACAGCATAATTAATCGAAATGCGGAGGACACCGAAGCATGAGTAGGTTAATTTTAATTATATTCTAGTTGAATATAAATACTATAATCAAATAACGAGTTAAACAATAAGACTAATCTTTGTGAAAATGTAAAATATATTTATATTTTTCATAGATATAAGGAGTATTTTGACTTTTTTTATATGGGTTTGTTGATATAGGAATATTTTTCTGAGTGTTAGTTTCTTAAAATTGTAGTTTATATGTTTTTGAGAAAAAATTGTCTGATTTACATAATATATGCTATGTTAGGTCAGTTGTGTTTTTGAATAAACTCATTTAAAGTTTGTGTGATGAAAATAACTGCTTCCCTGGATATTACCTTCCCTACATTTTATTTAAATTAATATCCTCTATTTAAGCTGAAAAAATTTATCAGTCGAAACACTGAAAAATAGCGTTGAAATTGCTGCTAAAATGAAGTTTCTTTCCCACTTTTTACTGATTTTTATTTGAGCGGATTTCAAAAATTCACTCATGTTTCCAATCTGCAATGTGAAGCCATCAAATGCCGTTACATGTCAATCGTAGCTAGAACTGAGAACAATGTCCCGAGGGTACCCAGCGCGGCGCAGAAATTAAAATTTCACCTCACTTTCCAAATTTTTTATCGTTGCGCCTAAACCACTCCAGACAGCAACCGAAACCGACAGAGGACTATAGTGCCGGCAGAAAGTCCCAGAGTCAAGGTACAAGGTTCCACGTCATTTTCCAAATCGTCATGCCAAATACCCTCCAATCAGGTCAAAGTCACACCATCGCAGCAGTTGAAATTGCCGACGCTATGTAAAGGAGACGGAGCCGTTGCATGTTGGAATTTTGGCGGTCAAAAATTATCCGAATTCGACGAAATCCGAACCTAACGGAAATCCAAAAATAATAATTGTCATTACCTAAAAGCCACAAGATGTCTAGGTTCTTGAGATTCAGAAACAGACAGGAAGGTAGAGCCGAGAAGTGGAAATGGCGCGTGCCGTAATAAACCGTACCATGCAGCAGAGCCACCAGCGGAAATGCCTCTGTCTGTGAACGAATGTCAATCCAATTCATCGGCAGTTTAGTAACCAGTTCTGTGACCTGGTCAGTGCCTGCAGCACAATCAAAAGATAAAAGGTTTTTCAAGATAACTCAAAAGGGGTAAGAGCTAGAAAAAAATTCTTATAAAAGTTGTAGAGGATAAAATTCTACATAAAAATCGTCTATTGACTTTCTTGTACTATTAAAATTAACAGAGTTCGGATGACTAGAAGTTAAGGGATGATTACAGAAATTTAAAAGTTCATAACAAGCAGAAAAATTAATGAATTTTGTAATTTTTTTGTTGAATCTACTCTAAAAAATGTAAACTTTGTTTTCGGAGAAATAGATTTATTTTTAATTTTTAATAAAAAAGTTATAACAATTTAATTTTTTAATCCTTAATTTTTATGAAGTAACACTAAAACAATTTTTTTCTATGCCATTCGATTGATTATATAAAATAATGAAAAGTTGCTTTCGAATTTTTTTTACAACAAAAATAAAAAATAACATTCGCTTTGTGAAATTGTTATAACTTTTTTATTAAAAATTAAAAAATTTCTCTGAAAAGATGATTTACATTTTTTAGAGTAGATTGAAAAAATATAGGATATAAAATTTATTAATTTTTCTACTTCTTTTAATTTTTTAAATTTCTGAAATCATCCCTTAACTTCTAGCCTCCCTAAAAGCCGTTTTACGCTGACAATTTATTGATGAATTCATTCATGAAGTCGCTTCATCAAGAAATTGGACAAGTGCATATACAGGGTGTTAAAAAAAGAGTGTAAAATATTTCAGGAGGTAATAGTATGAACCAAAATAAGCAGAAAAGTCTTAATAAACATGGGTCCGCAAAGTAACGGTTGCGGAGATATGGACCACTATTCGTTTTTCAAACATTTTATTTTATTAGGAACAAACCGACAAAGGAAGCTTTTAACAAACAAAAAACAAAGTTACAGAAGATGTTCAAAGTGCCCTCCGTCCATTTCCAAGCAGGCACGACATCTTCGTCTCAACGATATTCGAACTCTTTCGAAAACACCCTCCTTGGTTTGGATTTCTTGACACTTTTGATTAATCCGTAGCTGCAGCTCTTCCAGGCTATTTACAGGAGTACCATACACTAATGTCCTCAAATAGCCCCAAACAAAGAAATCTAGAGGGTTCAGATCAGGCGATCTTGGAGGCCATAAAACAGGTCCGGCCCTTCCTACCCATCTATGTGGAAAAGTTTGGTGTAAATGCTCTCTAACGGCCATGGAAAAATGAGCTGGAGCACCATCATGCTGGAACCACATTTGTTGCCTCTGATTCAAAGGAATGTCTTCCAAAAACTCATACAGTGTGTTCTGCAGAAAGTTGAGGTAAGCAGCACCTGTTAATCGGTTTGGTAAAACAACAGTACCTAGAAACCTGTCACCTACAATACCCATCCAAATGTTTAATGAAAAACGTGCCTGATATCCAGATTCTATTAGAGCATGGGGATTTTCGTCGGCCCAAATATGCGTATTGTGAAAATTAAACACTCCATTTCTTGTGAACCCGGCCTCATCAGTAAAAAGAATGTTTGCAAGAAAACGAGGGTCTTCAGCATCATGATGTAGAAACCAGCGGCAAAAAACCAAACGTGCTTTGTATTTAAGGCCTGTACTCGTTGCACATGGTATGGATAAAGCAGTTGCTCGTGAAGGATTCTCTAAACAAGAGGACCACTAATTCCTACCTCGGCTGATATTCTCCGCACACTCGTACCAGGATTCTACTCTACCAGTGCTAGAATTTCTTCTTCTGCTCTAGGAGTGGATACCGACCTTGGTCTTCCGGATAAATGGCACTGTTTGCTCAAGGAACCGGTATCACGCAATCTTTGGTGAATTCTTCCAAACATGCGTTGTGAAGGAATCTGGCGATTTGGATAAGCGTCAACATAAAGACGTCGCGCTTCGGTGGCGTTCCCATTAGCACGACCATACATGAAATGCATGTCTGTTAATTCTGCGTTAGAGTAACCAGCCATAGCGAAAGAAAACTTGTGCACTGAGAACAACTGTCAAATACGTACTGTTTATTTCACTAAACATCAACAAACTATTATAAGAAAATACACAACGTTTTTGCAAAATAAAAAAAGGGCTAAAAAACATAAAACATTCCATATCTCCGCAACCGTTACTTTGCGGACCCATGTTTATTGAGACTTTTCTGCTTATTTTGGTTCATACTATTACCTCCTTAAATATTTTACACTCTTTTTTTTAACACCCGGTATACAGGCTGTTACAAATTCGCTTCTCGCTACAGGGATGTCGGAAACGGTAAGAGATTTAAATGGGGGCAAAGTTGCGTAATCAGGGGACCAACATGGGGGCCTCTAAAAAATCAAGGCTAACATGATTAGTTTCCGAAATATATGAAAAAAACGAAATTTTTTAAATCCGTTTTTGTTTCATTTCAGCCTTATTTGAGGTGATATTGAAAAAAAAAAGAACTCTCATGGCCACTTTTTGCCCTCTATCGAATGGTATAATCAATTTTTATATGTAACGTTTCGTCTCTCCAGGACCATCAGCAACTTCTTTTTTTTATATACGACCCTGGAAATTTTATTACATTTTTCGCAAGCCTCTATGACCCCCCATACTGTACTGCCTAAACCCGAACCAGATCCAGACTTTTTGTCTCGAAAAATTCATCTTCAGTGTATTCGCAAATCAATTAATTTTTACCTTTATTCGTGAGGTTTTTCAAAAACACATTTAAACACTGTAATTTTGCAAATGAACCAGAAAGACTAATGTATATTCGACACAATTTGGATCATATTTTGTGTGCAAAGGTATTTAAGCATTCTGCATACTTTAAACATGTATTCGTAAATTTTGTAAATTGCATCCCAAAGAAAAAATTTCTACACCTTTTTATTAAAAAACAAAATTAATCTTACAGTTAATCAATAACTGTCAAAAATAATTTTATAACTTCCTTTCACAAAAAAAAAATTATAGGAATTTTAATTACATAATAATTATTAAAAACCAGAAAATTCAGTGGCTTGAAAATTTAAGACCCCTTTTAATCCTTTAATTTTTAAAATTTCTATGCCAATTTTTTTTTGTTCTTTGTGATTACATTTTATTTAAAACTGACGTATTTGGAACAAAACATTTCTATAATTGTTTTTGTGAAATAAACAGTTACCTATTTTCTTTTCAACTGTATAGCGACTATTTTTTGGACAAAAAATAATAACTCGAAAATTATTCGTCTGACAAATCAAATGAACTTAGTGACGGTATCTCCGCCATATAATTGTATGCCAATTAAGTAAATTTTTTCCTTACTTTACGCCAAACATAAAATTTGTCTTTGTAATGTTTTCCAAAAACTTAAACGTCTTGTGACTTGTAACTATATACTAAGGTATATTTGGCCAAACTATCATCTTTTGGACTGAAGATGATCAAGGTGTACCTACCTCATTTTTTAAATTGTATATTCTACCTGCGACAAGAAAATGAAGAGCCTGTAGGGACAAACAAATGAGCCCATCCGAAAATTTAATTCACGTTAGTGACGACCGGCTCCCCGACTTCCTTCGAATAATAAGATAAATTTCAGATAATGACGTCCTAAATATTTAATAAACAAAATAGAAAAGACACAATTTAAACAATTAATCTAGACACTGTACTCGCTGCTGTACACAGTTGGTTCCTCCTCAGTGTTCGTTGAACTTTGAAAAACTACCTCGCTCTTTATCACAAACGAAAACGAGATGGCCAACAGCAATTTGAAATTTGTTACTTGGGCGGTACTCTTCGCGTTTTTCTACACCTGTCAGTTGAAGGTATTGGCTTACATGGCGGAGGATATCAACATGGATCTGAAATTCATAAAAATTTGCAACAAGACGTCGCCCATAAGCATACGTGAGTATATTTCCACACGTTTTTATTTTATTTACAATACTTTATTATCCTCTACAAGAAAAGTTAAAGAGCAGTTTGATATACAAAATAAACAGACGCGTTTGGATATGATTTAGATGGAGAGCTTTTATTTAAAAAGTTTACGAACATTTTAAAATTTCTTTAAAACAAAGGACTGGTGAATTTTCATGTTAAAAATACTTCAAGAGAGTGGCTCATATCAGTAGCTTTAAGTCAAGTGTACGACATCAACAAGTGTCGATTTATCATTTATCTAGAGCAATTTTTCGGATGTACCTAGTTTTCTGTATACAGGATGTTACAAAATACTTTGTCGAACTTTAATGGCGTCAGAAAGTCATACCATGAAGTTGTTGGGAAGCGCTTAATTTTCTAGATACCTAATGCATATTTTTTTTGCAAATTATACAATTCATCCGTGTAAATAACACTTTATTCATAAACAATGTGACTTTATCATTATTTAAAAAATATCATCATATATGACACTTTTATCAATAATTATCTAAAAACGACATGAAATTTAAACCTATGGTATAATATTTTATCATTTATTATACGAGGTTAAAAAGATACAACTTGAAAAAATATTTTTAATTTTTTTAAATAATTTAAAAACTTAGTAAGTGAAATAATTTGAAATTGGACACATATATTTATCGGTGGCATATTTTTCTAAATAAAAATACTTCAAGAGAGTGGCTCATATCAGTAGCTTAAGTCGTGAACGACATCAACAAGTGTCGATTTATCATTTATCTAGAGCAATTTTTCGGATGTACCTAGTTTTCTGTATACAGGATGTTACAAAATACTTTGTCGAACTTTAATGGCGTCAGAAAGTCATACCATGAAGTTGTTGGGAAGCGCTTCATTTTCGAGATACCTAATGCATATTTTTTTTTGCAAATTATACAATTCATCCGTGTAAATAACACTTTATTTTATTCATAAACAGTGTGACTTTATCATTATTTAAAAAATAACATCATATATGACACTTTTATCAATAATTATCTATAAACGATATGAAATTTAAACCTATGGTATAATATTTTATCATTTATTATACGGGGTGATTCACAAATGGTGACCAAAAATGAAACTTCGTATTCTTTGGTGAATTTTAAGGGGTCTTTCCTATAAAGTTTTTATAGGACACTTGGTTGAAAAGATACAACTTGAAAAAATATTTTTAATTTTTTTAAATAATTTAAAAACTAGTAAGTGAAATAATTTAAAATTGGACACGTATTTATCGGTGGCATATTTTTCTAAATAAAATAGTACGCCACTGCTTTACCGTAACAACCATGATATTATCGGATTCCTCTTTCAATTTTCTACTTGTTTGAGTACTGATGCTGTTATTGGTCAATTAGCTTAGCGTAACTAACTTATATGTCTGTCCTTAAGTATGTTCTTTTTTCCTGTTTTTCCTCTTTCTAATCTGTATTTTTCTTGTTTTGTATGTTTAGATTAGTACATCTTAGGCTAAATATTTTATAATAAATAATAGTCTGTAATTGGATCATTGTGATCTGCAAATTGTTCATCAATAAATAAATAAATAAATAAAATCATTAAAATGATAACTAATGTTATTAATTTCTTTATTCGAATAAATAACCGAATGATTAGTGCTTGTCATGTCATTTAACTAAAGGTGTTTTCAGTTATACAGGGTCGGAAAGTACCGATGGTCCATCTGCCGTTACGTGAGAGCGATAAAGTAAGTCACAGAAATCCGTGCGATAAAGATGGCTATAATGAAGGCGTCTAATAGTCACCGCCCATTTCGCCCATCATAAGATTCACTTCTTATTTGTTGAAGGGCGAAACGGGTGGTGACTATGAGACGCCTTCATTATAGCCATCCTTCTCTATCGCATGGATTTCTATGTCTTACTTTATCGCTCTCACGTAACGGCAGATGGACCATCGGTACTTTCCGAACCTGTATATGAAACAATCACAACGCTTTGAAACTATCAGGGTTTCTTTAGGACGCTTTTGAGGCTCAAAAGTTACAGCGAATATCCTTAATTTATCCATTATTTGCAAAGTTATGCTAAATTATTCAAATATTCCTAATTATGCGAGTTTTTACCTTTTCCCAATTAACATTTTCACTTCGAAATATTTTTTTTATCAAAAACCAATAATTTGTAGTTTTCAAAACCCCACTTGGATTTTCTGTACGATCATTATTCCCCAAGTAATTGATTGCCAAAGTCAAAAATAACTTTTTTGTTTAATCGACTATAAGTCAGCGATAAATGATCGTACAAAACTTCGGAAGCTCTCAAATCTAAAGGAATTAAATTATCTAAAAGTGCTTTACGGTAAAATTACCAAAAAAAAAAAAAATATTGAAATCCATAGACCTTTTTAAAGACAAGAAAGAATTTGGAACATTTTTTTCGTTGGTTTTCTTATTAGGTACTCAAAAACCGCAGACGCTAAAAATATTAAACTCCAGATTCGAATACTAGAAACTTGAACCTTCAATTTCCTTTTTTATGATTCTCTATATTACCATTACTTTCCAAGTTTACAGCTCTTTGAAAATCACCCAAAAATTTGGGATTTTTTTAATATTCCTTAATTTTTGTGATTCGTAATTTATGATCTACACTTTTTTAATATGAATTAAAAAATATATGCTAAACGGTATATTACAAACATCACCCTCTAAACTACGCCCATGGATTTAAAAATATGGTGGCATATGCGTACATTTGTACACAATGCAAACTAAACCCGTATATGTACCAAATGTCCTCAGTCATTTCCTTGTAATTAAAAAAAAAAGGCTGTAGATATTTTTTATTTTCCTTTATGAACATGTTTTTGTAACGATCAAAAATAAGTGACAAATGTCTTACAACAAAAATAAGATTTTTAATAGGTATTAAATTGAAAGTGTGTTCTATCAGAAAATATTTTTGTTTCCTTACCACTAATCGGAAATTTATCACTTTTGTCTAGGCTCTAGGCGTCTAGTATACAATAATTGTATAGATAACCCACAAAAATGAGACTCAATGCATTTTCAAATGCAATAATTAATTTGTCACCCAACTCGGCGGCACCCGATGGGTCAACGGAAAGGTTATACATACAAGCTGACGCGAAATTATCTCAAGAAACTATAAAAATTAATAACAAACAAATTATTTCTTAATTTTATTATGTAAGGATTTGATACACTTAATTGTTTTTGAACACCAGTAAATATCAACAAAATAATGAGTACCTAACTGTATATATTATTATTTCAACTTCTACATGATAATTTTTATAAAATTCATCATTCTTTTTTGTTACAAACGCTTGTAGATACTATGAACGAGGTCCTGGTGAACAAAAAACTAATGAAAGGAGAATCTAGCTCCTTCAAATGCTTCCTCCACTGTCTCTTCGCGAAATATGGCTGGATGGACGAGGAGGGCGGCTTCCTCTTGCACGACATCAAGGACACTTTGGAACAAGCGGACGTAGAAATAGCCAGTCTGGAGTACATTCTATATAAATGTACAGCCCTAGAATCCGTCGACAGATGCGAGAGGTCTTATATGTTCACCGAATGTTTTTGGGAAAAAATGTCAGAGGTAAGTGTATACAGGCCCGGATCCAGAGGGGGTGGCGATGTGGCGATCGCCACCCCCAAAGCAAAACATTTTTTAAAGATCTTCAATTTCTCCAAACGACAACAGGCAGTTAGTCGATATTAATGCAAGTCCCCCTTCCTAACCTACACCTTACGTCATCAAAATAACAACAACAACAACAACAACAACAACNCGATCGCCACCCCCAAAGCACAACATTTTTTAAAGATCTTCAATTTCTCCAAACGACAACAGGCAGTTAGTCGATATTAATGCAAGTCCCCCTTCCTAACCTACACCTTACGTCATCAAAAAAATAACAACAATAATAATAATAATAATAATAATGATAAAGAAGTGCTTTGCGCCACCCCCAAAACCAGTCTCTGGATCCGGGCCTGAGTGTATAGATATATGTAATTAATACAGCGTAATATAAACACAAATGTTGTCTTGCTTCACCATAAATTAAAACGATATCCATCAACTCCGAGTTGCTATACACGCAAGCCATTTTTGACACTAACTGCTAAAAAACTATTGTAAACACTAACGCAACGACGATTGTAAAATCGGATTTCAGTATTCGGAGTCGCTGAGGCCACGTGGCTCTTAACGCGTATTGCGACTGACGTTAGAGATTACAGTTGTCCAGCGAAGTAAGGCTTGAAAGTACTACAACTTCAATAATTTTTTTCTCGAAAACTATAAGGATTTTACAAAAATGTTTATAGATTTTCTCTTTCTATTTTCAGCAACAACCCAGTGAAGATCAACTATTCTACAGCATAGAAGACTATAAATAATTTTCATGTTAAATTAATTTATACAGTTATTATTTTAATAAAACATCATTTTAAGGTTTTTAGCTTCATTTTATTCCTATATAACAACAGTTTTTAACAATCTACAACTTAAATGTGCGTAACTAAGTAATATATTATGCATATTTCATTCTTCCTCTTTAAATGCGTAGGCAGTCGTCAGTTGCATCGTATTTATTGCAACATAAACAAACAACGAAAATTCGCATTCGATATGTCTTTATCAAAATAGTACGGAACCAAGTTGAATGAACTCGTGATAATAAAAACGTGTTGAGGTAAAGTATCACGGAACAATAGAATATGAATAAAAATATTATATGGACCATAAATACATTAATATGACAATAAAGGAAGTGTTTTTTTATAAATTTGGGCTGACGACTTACTCAAGTAAAGATTAAAAATTCACTGAATTTTCATACAATTGTGTCAAATGACAAGTATACGGTGGACATGATGAACACCGTTGTTATGATCACGGAGAATCTTAGAATTTCGATACCACTGAATATTTTGGAATAGCGATCAATGCTAATCGTACTTCAAAAAAAATTGATTCTAAAAAAAAGGCCGCGCAACCGACTTACCAATATGGCAAAGATGATAATATTAAATCTTTTTTTTCTGGGGTGAGCACCGGGCTCTCTGGGGTGGGCCGTGGGTACCTCTACCCCCCTAGCATTCCTGCATTATATTTGTTTCACCATTTTTTTTATATTTACAAACATAATATCAAAAACATTACCCAATGAAGAAACTGCGACAGATGCTTAAAAACTGCAAAATAAGCATTAGTAAAAAACTAGCAATTTGTAAACAGGTCACACATGTAGGTACCTACATATAGTTATATACAAAAAAATGTGCAACAAAAAGGTTGTATGTTGGTGTTTTGCTTTTATAATGGTAAGTTTTATTTGTTAGTACCTAGATAGTTAATATATATACCTACAGCCACAGCCTTTTAATTTGTTTAAAAGATATGCTGCGAGAGTTAACTTTTGCTGAACTGTGTTGTTTAATTTTTGCTTTTGCAGCTTTGCATTATCGTCAGCTGCGACATTTCTACAAACACTATACAGCGAAAGGCAAATTTGTACAATTTGAAAAATGTAGCAGACCCGTATCAGCTAGTGGAATCTTTGAGGAGGCAGATTCTAGCCAAAGAGGAACAACTGGTAAAAACCGAGCAGATAAATAAAAATTTTGAAAAGATAATACAGTTGGTTAATATTTTGGGGCAAGTCGATTCATTCCTCACCGAAAGAACCAGATCCATGATAAAGAAATTGGCGATGCTTACTGATGCAAATATTGAAAAAACTCAGTAACAAGGGAAAATACAATATATGTGCCCCTTAATAAAGGGACACAGTAATACCTGATTACTGTATAAAGAGTTGCCTATACTTCACTACATATTTTCAGGTTCTTGTAAATACACTACAATACCAACAACTCCACGAATATTATGTAAAATAAATTCTAATTACGTGTTAAATATTTTATATAAAATAAATTTTAATCTTCTCGTTTTATTTGTTTTATTACAATTTAAATTTTCAATAGTTACTTTCATTTTTGTATGTTGGCAGCCATTTTTGTTGACTCAACAAATTTTAAATTATTTGTTAACGAAAATGCTAACCTAAAAAGTGTAGTGAAACATTCACATTAATTAAATAATTATTAGCTTAAATGCATCACATAAGTACCATTTCGTTATCTTTAAGTGTATTCACAGTCTTTTGTAAATTCGAATATTCCAAATGTCGTTTTTCCCTTCACCGGTTTTGGTTAGACTGCAAGAACTGAAACTGTGGCAAGGGAATTATGACAGTTTATTGCAAAACAATTCTAAAGAAGGGGCAAATCCATCGGATTTTGAGACAATTGAGGGTCTATCGGCATTGGACAGCACCGCATCTAGTCCTTTATCGTCACCTGAAAGGGATAAAGCGATAGATTGGGATAAAAAAGCTATATCACCTACAAAACCATTCGAACAACTTTTGGAAGAGAAACTAGCTCAAGATAAACCAGTTCAAGTTCAGGCAAAGCCTAAACGCCCGTTCTTGAGAAAAGGTTCTGGTCTGACACGCTATAAATCAAATCAACAGGCCCAACCATCACGAAGAAGAACTCAGAATAAACCGCCCATTCACAGAACTTGGCAAAACGAGCAAAGCAGAATTAGAAAACTTCCAAGCGAGTTAGTTACACTAAAAAGTTGCTTAAAATCCCCAAGGAAGCAAAGAAAGGAAGAGTGCGAAATTGATCTTACTCCTTTAAAAATGCCAGATCTTACTATGAAACCTAAAGCTACATGGCATAAGGTGTTAGAAGAGGATAACTTAGATGAAAAAATTAAAGAGCAGTGTAAAAAATCTGAGGATAATTATAATATATATCAAAACAGCTTTAATTCACACATCATTGGAAAAATTAACGATTTTAACTTGAGGCGTTTATTGCCACTTAGTCCTCGGAAGAACATTATTTATAAAAGATGTTCAGATTCGTAAGTAAAAGAATATATAATAGTAATAATTGTAACACTCAATTTTTTCTGCTGACACTCATTATTCTTGTTTTTAATTGATCTAGAATAACTACCATTCCTGAAATTGAATCTGAAAAGTCTTCACCAATTGACGATCAGTCTTCTCACGAGAGATCCGTGGAGAGTGAATTGCGTATATTCGAAGCATTAGAGGAACGAGTGGAACACAGCAGCTTCTCATCAACAAATTCTAGTATCTTGAGGTTACTTTCCAGTACGCCAAATAAAGCAAAACCTAAACTATCAAGTACAGGTTCGATCATAGAAGAACCGAAGATCCTAGAAAATGAAGGAATACCGTCAGGTTACCACGTCCTAGGTTATCAAAATTCGCTTTTACAGAAGAAACTGAACGAAGTGAATAGGAGAACAGATGTACTGCACGATTTTTTAAAAAACTTGAGGAAAATTGGTAAAAATAAGAGGACAAGCATCAGCTCTGCAGAATCCGGTCAGTATTCACTAACTTAGTAGAGAAGTGTTTTTATTAACGTGTTTTTAGTTCAGGAGAGATCGCCCGAGACGAGTTTTTCCGACGAAGAAAAGTGGTCTACTAATACTGACGTTGAAAGATCCGTGTCACCTTCGAGCAGTTTTACGGATACGTTTAAAGCTAGCACTATACAAAATGTCGATGTAGCAACCAACACCAGCATGGAAGAGAAGGACGAGAACGTAAAAAATGAAAAATGCCAAAACTGCCATGAACTTCAGGTCAAACTGGAGAAAGTCAGCAAGCAGTTACCCGATATCCAAGTGGAAAAGGCTCGAGTGTGTGACTTTGCTAAGGAACTTGAAGTTAAAAGAGATCAGCTGTATAAAGACATGGAGATGATGAAACAGAAACATGACAGAGTAATATCCGAGATGAAAGAGGAGTTAGATAATGAAAAAAGGCGTTTCGCTCGAGAAAAAATGATGTTCGATATGTAAGTTAACAAAACTATATTTTTTTTTTCAAAAATCTAAATTTAAGTACAACCAGCAATACATTTTTATAGATTTTATTACACAATTTGTCTAAATATCAATTAATGCACAAATAACAGACTTTCCCCCATTTTATCGCAGTTTTTCTATAAAATGAACTTAGTTTTAAACTCAAATTACTTTTTGTTGTAACAAAATTTGTAATTTGCCGCTTTTGAACAAGCGGCATCGTAAATTACAAATTTCTTTACACCAAAAAATAATTTAAGTTTCAAACTAAGTCCATTTTATAGAAAATCTGCGTTAAAATGAAGGAACGTCTGTTATTTATGCATTAATCCATATTTATACAAACTGTGTAATAAAATCTATAAAAATGTATTGCTATTTGCCTGTTTGCTATAGAGCCCTCTTAATTCTATAATATAATCAAACAAAACTATATTTATTTGCAGTATATATATATACAGGGTGTAGCGCTTAAATGTGATACAAGCTCCTTTATTTTTTGGCCGATTTCAAAATTTTTTTTTTTAGAATGTATGGTAAAAAACTCTATCTAACTGTGATACTGCTGCTTTTATTAATTTTATTTAATTGGTATTAGCGATTGTTTTTCCAAAAAACATTCAGCATCCCTTAAAACGTCTTATGAGTATAAGTTTCATCAAATTCGATACATCTTCAGACGAACACTAGTTGGTCGTGTATTGCATTAATAAAAAACAGCAGTATCACAGTAAGATAAACTGTTTTTTACTCTATGTCCATAAAAAAAATATTTTTGAAATCGGCCAAAAAATAAAATTTACAAGCATGTACAGTTGGCGCCATCCAAATGTGAACGGATTTTGGTTGTTATGGAAATTTCATCTGGATTTTATCGTAGTAAATTGAACTTTTCTTAGTGGCGTAACACAGAGAGGGTATTCTGATGGATAAATTCGACCAAGGCATTGTCTTCCGCGTCACTGGAAACCTTCCCTACACCTTGCCTGATATATCTTTGTAATCTTTGTTCTTCTTGCCAGCGTTATTTAATATAAAATGTACAACTCTTACTGACATTTAAATCAGCATCCACTTCACTCAAAGACCAATTACCTTCTAATTTAGCTACAGCCCTTGCTAAGTGACATATATATTTGACAACTATTGAATTTTACGACGACCATGATTTGAAGTCTAAATTACAATATTGCCATTCGCATTTGGGTGGCGCCGACTGTACATATCATATTTCACGACATCATGGAGTGCTCGCCTGAAGATGTATCGAATTTGATGAAACTTTGCGATGAGACGTTTTAAGGGATGCTCAATGAGAATACGTTGCTTCCGAGTTGGCTATGTATTGCATTAATGAAAACAGCAGTATCACAGTTAGATAGAGTTTTTTTACACTACATTACAAAACAAAAAATTTTGAAACCGGGCAAAAATATAGAAGTTACAGGCTTGTATCACATTTAAACGCGACACCCTGTATAGTAAAGTTTCTAGAATGGCCAAGTATTGCAACTGATTGTTCCCATTTTGCCTCCAAATTGTGGTTTGTAAATGTCACTTTCTGTTTGATGTTTCCAAATATTCTGCTGTATACCGGGGTCGGCATAAGTTAGGCAACCAATTTGCATTAAGAGAAAAAAATGCAGCCTCAAAATATATTTATTAAAAGAAATTACAAAAGGGATTCGAAAAAGAGTTATTGTAAGTGTTCAAATTGATGCCCATCTTGATCAATGCATGTACGGCAACGTTTCTCAAGGGAGAGGCAGGTCCGGCCAAGCATGTCAAGCTGTCCGCAAAGAGTTTCAAATTCTTCTTCAATTGCAGTTCGGAGATCGGGAAGGGTGTGTGGTCCTCTTGCGAAAACGCGGTCCTTGAGAAGGCCCCACAGAAAAAAATCACAGGGTGTCAGGTCACATGACCGTGCGGACCACTCAACAAATCCTCGTCTGCCTATCCATTCTCCAAAATGAACATTAAGGTACTCCCGCACACATAACGCGTAGTGCGGTGAAGCTCCATCCTGCATGAAATGACAACTGTCTGAAGCACGAACGTGCTTCGTTTTAATCTTTTTCGACAGCGTTGCCAGACTTATGAGCGTTGCCGGACTTATGCCGATTTTTCGAGAGCGTTGCCTGACTTATGCCGACCCCTGTATTATCTAGTTCCGCTGGTTATATTACTCTGATGGTCGGATTTTTTCGGAAGTGTGTGGCACCGAACTGTTTGATGTTTCTAAATATTCCGCTGTATATAATCTAGTTCCGCTGGTTATATTACTCCGATGGTCGGGTTTTTTCGGAAGTGCGTGGCCCCACGTTGGGCGCCACGTCTACAATCCGGGAGTGATTGGTTCCGATGGTGCACTATCGGTCAAACGACATTTTTTATATGTCAAAATCAAATATCTCGAAGAAGAATTAACGAATCGTTTTACATTTTTTTTAAATTAAAGCTTATTTGATGCAGATATAGGGAAAATTATTGCAAATGTGTTTTATTTTGGGGGTGGAAATGAAGGGCGAATAGTTGAAAAAAGTGAAAAACGATTTTCTTCGTTCAAAAAGAAGGTATATGTAGAGGGTTTTTGTGGTCCTTAGATACATAAAAGTTTATTTTTTCATCGTCAAACATTAAATGTAGCTTTTTATTAATCTGTGCTTTAAGGGTAGGAATAGGATGAAGATTTTCATCACTTGGCAAAAAAAAATCTGTCATTGGAAGGGGTTCGATGAATATAAATATGATCACTGTTTTTAATCCTCTCGTACTTTCTGGAGGTTTTTCATCACGTCCTCCTTAAGGGTGCAAATTAAGGTTGAGGGTTAAAAAATGGAAAAGTACGAGAAATAGACAAGTAAATATAAGAGGGTTTTTTCGTTTGCTGAAAAAAAAAAGAATTTTTTAATGATATATTGGACAGTATATCATAACTTTATTAAAGGCTTAGTCTATTAAACTTTTCAAATCAAATATAATTATTCATAAACAATTTTATAATACTAAATAAAAATACATTCTTTAGCTCGATAATTAAAAAGAAAATGTGGTTTCTCATAATTTACTTTATGAACGACTTTATTTTACTTTACTTTCATAAATCAATATGTATAAAAGAAAAATGTATTGCATATTTTTTCCTTTCTAATTTGTTATCAGAACTTGGAGTGACACTTTGTTTTAAATTAGACTATACACTGATTGCGATATCTAGTGTAACGTATTCCTTATATCTTTATTTGCATGCTTTTTCGATTTGAGATTTTTGGTTACGTAAACCGATTTGTATAAAAATGACCACGGAATATTTTTTTAATATTTTTTTTTTAATGGAGATATCAAAAACAATAAAAGATGTAGGATGGCTTAGTTAGAAAAAGTTAAGCTTAGAGTATCATTGAAATATATTTCAGAAATTAATAATTTTTGAGAAAAAGAGAAAAGAAAACCAAAAAAAATGGTATTTAAAATATCTGAAAACTGAAATTTAAGAATACATTTGTCTAATTTGAGCTATGCTACATTTTTCATCGTCGCCTTGCTAGACATGATAATTAAAAGTTACACTTCAGGTATATGAAAGAGTCAAAAAATCGTTCGACTAAGAAGGAACGGGAAGAAATCTCTGACCTGAAGAAAGAACTAGCAGACTGCAAGGAACTGCTAAAACTAAAAGAAACGAAAAGCGGAGCTACGCAGGCCCGTTTACGAACCCAAATAAAACAAATGGAAAAAGAAAATGTCGAATTAAAACTGGAAGTGGAGAAATTACAGAAAGAAAACGCCAAACTGAACGCTACACAGCTGATGCGAAGACCGTCCGAAGTCAAGATGTTGCACGAAATCAACAAAAACCTTACCAAACTCACGGAAGAGACATTGAAGAAGCAAATGAATAAGACGGACACGAGCTGTAACACGGACAGTCCCGTGGATATCAGAAAGAGACGTTCCAAGAAATCCAAAGAGGTAGATGACGAAAGTAGTGGGCAGGAAATATCAGTAAGTTGTCACGAAACGAAAAGCCACTGATGGTGACGATTTATTTTTCAGGCCAAAAAGAATTCAAGTTTGAAACGTAACACTCCCGAGGAGGATACGTCTGGCAGTATTAACGAGATCTCTAGACACGAGATGACCACTTTTGCAAACTTGTCTCTGGAAAAACAGTATGAAAATGTATTTGGGCAGTTTTCAACTCTCGGAATAAATAACAATAGTCTAAATGACTCGAAAAAAGGTAAGTTTTATTAATTCTGTTGTAATTATCTCAAAACTGCTTAGAAGTTTGTAATTTACTATTTATTTATTTGTGGTGGTGATTACACAGACAGTCTATTAACTTGTAAGAGCGATTTTATTGTGGCTAAGTGTGTGGCGCCATCTATGTGTGGTCAACGGAACTATGTAACGGGAAGTTTGCTGACCGACCAAACAAAATTTTATCAGTATACGTGCATCTACCACGAAGTTATAACGATTTGCGTGAAGCAGGTTTTCGATAATTGTCATGGATACATACATTGAACGGCAAATAGCTGTTAAGTTCTGTTTTAAAGCCAGTAAAACAGCCACGGAAGCGTAGCAACTGTTACAAACGGCATTCCCGCCCAAGTCGAACAAACGAAAACGGTTTTTTTAAAATAATTAAAAAAATATAGCGCCGATTGAAAAATTTTAAATGAGAAAGTCGTAGGTTTTAAAAAGATCTATCGACTGATTTTTTGTAAGTATCAGTTGCTTTATTACTTTTCGAGATATATCGAAAAAACCGTTAAAAATCTCTTTTCTTCTTCTATAAATCGTTTACATTTACTTCCCATACTTGCAACTTACTGCAAGCATAGCCCGTGGCAAGCCAAAAAACTACATTTTTGAATAAATTAAAAATATTAATTATTTTTCGAAATATATCGATTTTTTAAAAAAAAGGCGCTCTCGAAAATTGGCTAGATCTTCTCAGCGGATAGCCCTACACTAACGATTTTCAGTTTATTTTCTTCATAAAGAGTTATATTATCATGCTGTTAAAAAATGTTGACGATTTTATTAATTTTAAGGATAAAAAAATGACTGAAAAAGTTGCACTTTTTTTGGGTACGTTCTTTTCAAATAACTATTTCAATTTTTATTTTATGAAAATGACTTTTAAAGAAAGAAACTGCTGACATTTTTTCATGAATTTTAAAAAAAAATGTTTTTCTACGACCTTCTGGAACCGAGATAATTTTTTTTTTTTATATAAAAACAAAATTATCTCCTAACATCGAAATAGACGAAGACTCTCTTGATGCCTTCGAAAAACTTCTCGATGAAACCATTGTTGAGTCACAATGTGAAAATGTTGACGATTATTCTCTTGATGTTTTCAACATACTTCTTCACGAAAATATGGAAGACGAACAAGAAAATGAATCAAAAGACAATCCGACAAAGAAAAGAATAAATTAAATTCTTTAAACTTATTTTACACCAAAATTAATTAATTATTGAAATACAGTATACACTCTTTAAACCGAACTCGCCTTAATCCGTATATCCACTAATCTGGCCCGACGACACGACAAATGCCCATTTCGATGGTCCGAACAAAACTCTTTAATTCGAACAAAATTCGGTTTAACGGATATAGTTCTGATTATAAAGTCAGACTACATAATAAAAAGTAACCGCCAAAAACATAATTTCCCGGCAGTCTCGGGAAAACCCTTTTATGCGAGTCGGAACCTTTCTCGATTAGATCTTTTTAGTTGAAATATTATTGCCGTGCAAACATGTCGATATTTATATAACATTTTTACAATAATGTTTGGTTTTATTGTTACTTTTTGCCTTTCCAGTAATTCATAATAAAATAATGCATGCATATGTTTATGTACATGCATAATATTATATGCATGTACATAAACATGTTTACTTTGTACATATTTACCATCGAGTAATCCAAAAATATTGGTAATTCGAACGTATCTCTTTAAGTCCGTTTTTTAATTAGTTCGGATTAAAGAGTCTATACTGTAATGAAGTAATTGTTAAAAAGCTAGCAACAAGTATTACACGAAAAATACTGTAATACTATTAATTATTAAAATGACGAAAATGTAAATTAAATAAGAACTAAACATTTACGGGACTATTTTGCTTCTATGGCGAAGATGACTATACCTGTAATATTCGTGTTTATCTCGTCAAGCTACCCCAGATTAAGTACAAAAGAATTTTTGTACAGTGGTCCAGAAGCCGAGATATCAAAGATTTTGTAAGATTTTGCGTTTAGACTGCATGTCATCAGTTTTCAGAGCAGGCGCGCGCTACTTCCACCTATTTCTCCGGCCGGTCCAGTTGACGCACTCAGCGCTTGCACGCTTCAGTTTATTACTCGATTACTAATACTAAAAATCAATTAATTTTTTCTTGAAAATATAAGTTCAACATTAACCTCCATCAAGCGCATTGCTGTAAAATGTTAATTGCGTCCTCAAAATTTTTTTTAAATAAAAAAATTATCTCGGCTCCAGAAGGTCGTAGAAAAACATTTTTTTTTTAATTCGTGAAAAAATTTCAGCAGTTTCTTTAAAAGTCATTTTCATAAAATAAAAATTGAAATAGTTATTTGAAAAAAACAGCCAAAAAAGTGCAACTTACTAATTACTAAAAATCAATTAATTTTTTCTTGAAAATATAAGTTCAACATTAACCTCCATCAAGCGCATTGCTGTAAAATGTTAAATGCGTCCTCAAGATTATCTCGGCTCCAGAAGGTTGTAGAAAAACATTTTTTTTTTAATTCGTGAAAAAATTTCAGCAGTTTCTTTAAAAGTCATTTTCATAAAATAAAAATTGAAATAGTTATTTGAAAAAAACAGCCAAAAAAAAAGTGCAACTTTTTCAGTCATTTTTTGATCCTTAAAATTAATAAAGTCGTCAACATTTTTTAACAGCATGATAATATAACTCTTTATGAAGAAAATAAACCAAAAATCATTACTGTAGGGCTCTCCGCTGAGAAGATTTAGCCAATTTTCGAGAGCGCCTTTTCTTAAAAAAATCAATATATCGATATAATAATTTATATTTTTATTTTTTCAAAAATGTACTGTTTTGGCTTGCCGCGGGCTATGCTTGCAGTAAATAGCAAGTATGGGAACGTAAATGTAAACGAGTTATAGAAGAACAGAAAAGAGAAGATTTTTAACGGTTTTTTCGATATATCTTGAAAAGTAATAAAGCAATCGATACTTACAAATAATCAGTCGATAGATCTTCTTAAAACCTACAACTTTCTCATTTAAAATTTTTCAAACGGTGCTATATTTTTTTAGTTATTTTAGAAAAACCGTTTTTTGTAACTTTGCAATTTTTTTAACCATGTTCGCCATTTTGGATAGTCTAAAGAACAAGAAACTCAATTTAAAATTTAATTTCCCATACGGTCATATTTTTTTGTCCAGGTAATAATTCCTGCAAATTTAACATTAGGCCGTGACAGAATGCTTGGACTAGATGGTTGATCAATGATTAGATTTCAACGCGGAGCGCACAGTTTCAATGTTTTCGTTCGTTCAGCTTGGGCAGGGCACAAATGTGTCATTTTTCTTTCATAAAAAAACAACTTATTCTTTTTAAACATACTTTATCTCAAAAATTAAGTATTTCCGGACACGTACATAGTAACTTTTTTCGTCAATTTTGTGATGTAGAATCCACATCTTGCACAGTAAGGGAACTGTTTTTATTCTTGCACTATTTTCTTTTTTGACCCAGACAGGACCGAAACGGTGTTTGAGGACGGTTCGAAGGAAATCAGATACAGCAACGGCAACACCAAAACGATTTCCCCCGACGGGAACCTAGTAATAGTTAAATATTACAACGGAGACATCAAGGAGACCAATTTGTTGGAAAACACATTGAAATATTACTATGCCGAAAACTCCACTTGGCACATACACTACGGCGACGGTACGGAGGTGCTGGAATACCCGAAGTAAGTCGTTGATTAAAAATACGGCATAGAAAAGAATAATGTGGGTTTTAGCGGACAGAGAGAAAAGACGTATAAAGACGGTAGGAAAGAGGTGAAATGCGCCGACGGCTCGTGTTTATTCAAGGCTGTAGACGGTACGGAGGAGATAATTTATCCCGACGGGTCTAAGATCATAAAGCATCCGGATGGAGAGAAAGTCCTCCTCTTACCGAACGGGCAGAAGGAGATTCATACGAAAGAACATAAGGTAAGTACCCAGACTTTATAACCGAGTTATTTTCTATAAAGGGTGTTTTTAAAGTGAAATTTTCGTTTTAACATGAAATGAAAATCCATATAAATATCTAATTTTTTTATTGATAGCTCAAAGTCCAACAAAAAAAAAAAATAATGAATAAGTCCTTCACAACGAGGGGATCGTGTTGTCTTATGCAGAGCCTTTATAAATGATTGCGAGTCACATGACCAGTAATTTTGTTTTGAACAGATATTTTATTTCACGTTGACAACTACATTTCGGTAAAATTAAAACAATAAGATCAAGATTATATTAAAATACAATTTTATTCAACCAATCAGCGATAGCATTATCTGGAGCGTAGACGTAACAGTTTGTCATTGTTTATTGTAAACGAATCACTAATGTTGGTGGATTTAGGGATTTTTAGTTGGCAGTACCAGCCATGCAATGTTGGTTGCCTAACCACGGAGTGGTCACGTGGCTACATACCAGAAAATTAATCACTACATTTCATAAAAACAGTAGTGACTTCGTTTTCCATCAATATATTACATTTTTGCGTTTAATATGGCTCATCTTGTCGGACTAATAGGTGGATGGGTCTCATAAAAGAGTAATACCAAGTCTGCCGACTGTCATCTATGTTATTTCTACCTGCAGGGTTATTTGAAAAGTTTGATATACAGTGTGTCCAAGATAGGGATGGGATAGCGATAGGATCTAGGAAATCTTAAGAGATACGGGGTGGCTCAAATTAGAAAAAATTTGTGTTTTTTTTGTACCTAACAATATGCCGTTTAAAGAGTTTTAAAATTTTGGGCAGTTCGGGAGATATACGGAAAAACCCGAAATTTTGCAAAATCGTTATATTTTTTTTCTGGCTTTTTTAAAAACGAATTTTAAAATAAATTGCATATTTACGTTGCCACTTTTTTCGCTCTATCCAACGGCATCAACATTTTTGCCGTACGACGTTTTGTCTTCGAGATGTCATCATCAGGTTCATTTTTTTTAAATAGGTCGCTGCTATTTTTATGACAAAATTTAAAGTAATTTTTTGACAGCATTGGATAGATCGAAAAAAGTGGCAATGTAAATATTAATTTATTCTAAAATTCGTTTCAAATAAAGCCAGAAAAAAATAAAATGAGTTTGCAAAATTTCGGGTTTTTTCGGATGTTCCCGGAACTACCCGGAAGTTTAAAACATTCTAATTGGCATATTGTTAGGTATAAAAAAATACAACTTTTTTATAATTTGAGCCACCCCGTATCTCTTACCGTTTCCTAGATCCTAATACTATAACATTCTATTCTTGCATAGATTGAAGTGACTACAGTGGAAAAATTATGTCAATGCACAGAAAATACCGCAGCAATAATTTAGAGAAAATGTCGTAATACTCCGAGTGATAGTTTGTGTGAACGAACCCAGTGTTAATAAGTTTGAACATCTTTAAGCCGGGCTCATCTGAGTTAAAAAATCTTTAAATTTCGCTATCCTTGAGACTTCGGAAAAATGTTATTTGGAAAAGGAACAGTAGTTTCTCAGACCTAAGTCCCATGGACTTTTTTGATCGATACATTGAGGGCTATCATTCGGAAAAGTTTCGTACCATTCGACCGGGACCGGTTTCCGTAAGGATAGTCTTTTGTATAGTTTAGATGTGATGTAGTAACTTTTTAACAGTGCTGTTTGCATTTAATTTCTTTGATATTATATATATGGGAAAAGTCCAGTATACAAAGCGTTGCACAATAATGAGTCAAAGTGTTAATTATAGATTGTTTGAGCAAAAATAATAGAACATTTTAATTCATGTGCATCGTAAGAAACATTGTGTCAAAATGCCGCTAAACTCAAAAAAAAAATTAAACGAAGATGAAGGACAGTGGATTGTATTAGCTTTTCATTCCCCCCCCCCCCCTAACTTTTCCTGTGTATGCCTATAGTTCGAGGATATTGTTTTTTAGATCTAGCATTTGCTTCTTTAATTTTTTTTTGTACTAGAATTTTTATGTTCATCTTAGTTTTTGAGACATAACTTCTTTAGATGTGTGATAGCAATAATATGAGTAATTGGTACTTAACATATAAATTTTAGAAATGTTCGTGGCTTATTGATACGGTTACAACTTTATTAATAGTCATTTTATATACATTTGCAAGTACATACTTCTGAACGCTTACTACAACTCACAGAAAACTATTATAGCAATCCACAAAGTCAAAAAAAACAGGTAATTTTTACTTTACTTATTCATTAAGAGGTAACGCCACTCCGGATGTTGGAAGAAAGGTGATTTTTGGGAATTTTCAAGGAAAAATCAATAAAAGATGTAATGTCAGGAACAAAACAGCTTTATTGTACATGTTTTTTAGTAATATTGTGAATTTTTTCAAACGAGTTGGATTCAAAGTAGCGGCTGTAGGTGGCGGCAAGCAACGACACCTTTTTTTTCAGAGGGCTGTATCGCCGGAGGGGTTTCTTATTAACAGATGATCTTGGAACAAAAACACAACAATTTTCTGGTATTATATACTGAAAGCTAGGGTAAATAAAATATAAAAATTAATTATTGATTTCGTGTACATTGAAAAAAAAATTATCGAAGAAAGACTAAAATTTTATATTAAATTGTTAATATCAATGAAAATTATTAATCAATCGAAAAACACCTACGATGTTAACTGAGTTTTTTACTGTGAAGCTGTGTACAAAATTTCAAGTCGATTCGTTGAAAACTTTTTGAGTTAAGTTTCCCGCCAGTTAAAAAAGTAGTTTCTCGAAAAATGCTTTTAGTTTTTGTTGTTACTCACTGTAAGATTTTCGTTATATGTATACCTTGAATCAGCGAACCATATAGTTGACTTTCTATGTTGATATTTTCTTCATCCTCTTCTTTTCGACCCAATCTGGTCTCTATAATAGCTCAGTCAGGTGCGTTATTACGAGTTACAATACACGAGTGGTTGCGCTTCACCTCAAAAAACTCGTGTTCCCGACTTTTCCCTCACCCAAAACTTTTTTTTTTATTATTATAATAAAGCAAAAATTACTGAGTGTATGCACAATTTCAGCTTAACAGAACAACATAATTATTAACAAAATCCTCTTTTACCTTTTAAGTATGATTTTTTATACTCATTTTCAATTTGCTTGTTACATCATCCGTTTAGCACGATGCAATTTCACTATTCCCTTTATTATAACCGAACTCCACTGTATGTTAAGGAAAGACAAAACGCTATTACAATTGCTCGAAAAATCCACGGTTAACAGCCTAAAATACATCCTGTATATTTGATTGTTTGCACATAATGTTCATATAGTTATGCTATGCAGTAGTTTCGGGTATTATTTCCGTTTTCTATACACAGTCGTGATGTAACTGGGTATATTTGATGGTATATCTGTTTCTTTCTCTCAAATGATGCTTATAGGTGTAATTTAGCAGCACAGTGGACTAATAAGTAAGTAATGAAGGTTATGGTAAAAACTACCAAATGCTGTTTTTTCAGAGACGAGAGTATCCTGATGGAACGGTAAAAATTCTTTATCCCGATGGTACCCAGGAGACGAGGTACGCATCAGGACGTATCCGAATAAAAGACGTCAATGGAGTTTTAATAATGGACTCTCAGAATCCCGCTCATTGAAGTTGGTTAACTCAACGATTTGTGATATTAATGTATACTCTCTAAAAAATCATTATTAGTAAGAATAGTAAGAAAATTATTTTTATATAATCTTATGGTTTGTTGAATAGATATTTTTACAATTTTTTACATCCTAGTAAGGTTTCAGGCCAAGAAAAAGAGGGATCGCCTTTGGAAAGGTTTTTCTAAGGGCACAAACATAAACGCAAGGTAAGTGTAAGTTCTTTTATTTTTTTGTAACTTTAAACGTAAACATGCAAACGTTTAAAAATTCACCCCTGAAATCAGTCCTCGGACCTACTTTAATGGTTTCTACACAGCCTTCATAAATGATTACAAGCCACATGACAAGTAATTTTATTTCCTTCTTGTTGGCAAGATACTGTTCAACCAATCAGCGATCTCATTATCTCGAGCATAAACGTTTGTCATCATTCATTGTAAACGAGATTCAGTGAATTTTTGTTATCAGTACCTGTCGTGCAATGTTGTATTTATTGCTTGTTTGTGATTAAAAAATATTAAAGTTAATTTAAAATAAGTAAAAAAAGAGTATACAGTGAAAAAAATACTTATGATTTATAGAGAATCCATTTTTTCCAAATTTTCAGAAATCCAAAAAAATAGTAATTATGAAGGGCCCACAACCGGACCGGTCTTAAACGTTGTTAAAAGAATAGTCGTTTGAAACAAAAAAATTTTCTGAAAAATCGACGAATACACTAAAATTTTAAACTCAAAAATCTTCAGCGAAACACTGAGAATTTTTTTTGTATTTTTTTCTGTAAAGGCCATCTAAACACAAAGATTAAAAAAAAAAAGCTTTAATTTGGAACATTATTAAGAAAGTTATGAAAGTTAAAAACTAAGAGCGATTTTTTTGAAAATTTTATACATTTGAACAAGTAATCAAAAAAAATTCAAAATTTACCAGAACGGCGTTTTTGAGGGGTATTAAAAAATATAAAAAAATTAAAGAAATTGAAAGTCAAAATTTTTCAAACCGTCCAGTCTGGCGTGGAACGGCCCATATAAAACGAAAATATTGACAGTAAAACACAGAACTTACATTACCGTTTTATTTATTTGTATTACTTGGGTACATAATTGCTAAAAATTCTTTGTATAGCATCTAGTGCTGCGGTTTCTCTTGCGATTTGCACATTTTCGCCCCAACCTATAAAGTAAATTTTTACAGTTTTTTAATACCTTATACTTACATCGTAACTTGCTTACCGATTCCAAGTAGCTCTTTGTTGCTGTACAGGCCTACTTGGAAATTCGCCAAAATAGTATTAACAGCCGATTGGTTGCACAATCTCGGTTCTATCGCAGTAATTCCTCTTTCACCGAGTAAATTTGTGAGATATTCGTAGGGATTTTGTGGATCCCAGATTTCGTAGACATCTTTACCGTTCATCTGACTCAACACAATATCTTTAACAAACGTTTCTGCTCTGTTCAAATCTTGGGAATGTTTCAAAGCTGCTACCACTGCCTTGAATGTATTTGATAACGTTTCCTTTGCAACGGGAAATTCCTAAATACAAGAATTTTAGAAATTATACAGTATATTTACTCAAAGTAATGCAAGAAAACTTACATTAGTTAAAATGAGGTCCTTAAGTCCTATGTGACTTCCAACATATGACATCATATCCTCAGATGTCAAGTAATTATGAACGGCATTCACAATATCTTCTGGATATAATTTTCTATATTCTTCCTTAATCACTCTTGATATTATCTCATTACCCTCTTGAATTAATTCATAATTGTCTATTTTTTCCGGAATCGGAAGACCTTAGAAAATAATATGTTTATAACCTAGTTTCTAGTATTGTGACAATGATTTGAATACAAAATTTTACCTAAACATAATACTAATTACCTTTCTCTTTTGCTGTGAATTCTTGCATATTGGCATATTCTCTTTGTGTCAGCGCTCTTCTCAATAAACTCTTGTCAAATTCTTCTCCTAATCGTTTGCCGAATGCATAAATTTCTGCATCGTAATTCCATTCTAAATACGTAGATCTAGGTTTTTCTGGTTCTGGACCTATCAAATCTCTTCTCTTTTTTAATACTCTTAAAGTAGGGCTAACCCATCTTTTTATGTTACGGGTTTCTGAAAAATAAGAATGAATAAAAAACCACAAAAACAGCAGCAGAAATTATACCAGATATTGTTAAATTGTAGAAATTTTTGCTAATACATCGATGTAACAATGAAAACGGTGGTCTCCACAGAGACATATTTATTAATTATAAATAATTATACAAAATATGTAAAATTAGAATATAACTTTTGAAAAAGTTAGGCTAAAGTATTATAAACTTTCTTCTTCTTCTTTAATATATGGCGTACAATTTACCTTTGGAATCCAACTTTATAAGGGTGTAGACCAAATAAAGACGAAGAAGAATACACGAGATAAGGGGAGTTTTGATCTACTCTTTTTTAGAAAAGAAACATGCGGCACAAAACCAGAGACTAGAGATGTTAATATCTGTACAAAAAACTTTATTGGTTTGATTTGAGGTGCAGTGCCTTGGTTTGATTTTGAATTATCAACAATAATTAATTTCGACCAACTTGTAGGGCTCTGCAATAAAAAGGAAAGGCTGTTCTAGAACACTTCTATTTAATTTCCGGAGAGGACATCTGCTAGCGACACGCGACAATAATGAAGAATTGACATTTACAATAGCAGATAACTGTAATTTTATAAAATATATTTATGATGCACTCGAACATTTGCTTAATAGATGGCGCATTATGAACACCAAATTATTGTAAAATAAAAATTAAAAAGCAAAGATTTCTGGAAGGTTTCCCAGGATAATTTGGGTGGTTTATTGACTTTTCGACTTTAGGCACTTAAAGACGGAAATATACAGCCTAGAACATGAACTCAACGCAGAATAAAATATATAATAATATAATTACAAAGAAATTCCGCAAGAGGGCCATTACCAACCAGAAGAAATAAAATTTCTAACAATTGTAATATTTCCTGTCTAGATACTAAGAAAAAATTTGACCATCCTGCATATCCAGCGCCTTCAAATACATACATTGATTTTTTTCCAAATCCAAAACTGGAATCAGTTCCTTTCTGGCTCTTTGAAAAGATATTTTTTTTAAGCAAAATAAATTTAGCTATATTTAGGTTTATTTTAAATTTTCTATATTCACATGTTAAAGTACATGGTATGTCGAGGAATGAGAAAGAAACAAGTGTAATTTATTTAGTTTATTTATTTATCTTGTAACATTACAAAAATATTATTTCACTTAAATATTGAAATAAATATACAAATTGAAAAAAGTAATAATTCTACTATAAGAATACTTACTTCAATTAAGAAAATATGATAAAAAAATTAATTAACAAACATTTCATTGAATACAATTTTCTATAGTATACATTATTGTCTTTAAGCATTTCTAAATAGAAATTTATAAAAAAAAATGGTTCATCTATAAAAAGAACACCCTGTTTAGAAGATTAAGTAAATATCGAACGACTAAATATGTAGTGTTAAGTCACTAAGCAAGTTTTGAAAAATCAAATTTTTTAAAGGTTTTAAAAGTGTAATTACAGTTCGATAAAAAATTTGTTACTACGTCTACGAGTACAATGGAAAAATATATGTTATTTTCCATGGCTAAATAAGAAAACCTTTAAAAAAGGCAGAGAAAGTTAAAATTTTAAATTGCAGCCGACTAGATGCGGCGTGCAATGTTTAAAAATGTTTTTCCTTGTAAGTAGGCTTGGCTTTCAAAGCCAAGCCTACTAGATTATAAAGTATTATATTTTAGTAAATAACACTGCAAAATTAAGTAGAAATATTATAAACAATAAGTAAACGAGACAAGAAAATAAAAGTACGATAATTATCGGTTGATTAAATATTAAATTTTAATACTGTCGCCAATGTCGGAAGGAACTATTTTTATGAGTCATACCTCCTAAAAACCTACAAAACTTCTTTTCAAAAGAATTATGTGGCACAGTAACAACTCGATAATTTTATTCCAAATTGTAACTTGACGTTTATCTGGAAAACTGTGACCCCTTATAGAATCTTATTAGACATTTTCACGATTAGGCCAATTATTATAATTTTCTTATTAACGGCATCAGATTTAATCACAGTCCCTTCAAAACTTCAAAGAAATACGAGGACAATCCCAAAAGAAAAGCACATTTTTCCAAAAATCCAACTTTTCTTCTACATCTTTGCCATTCACGGAGGTCATAGAAACATTCTTCCCGCATGTATTCAAATTTAATTCAACCCGTTTCTGCAAGTCGTGCTGTCGTAGCACTCCGTCGAGACGATTGCTGCACTTGATGTCAGTCAGAAACAATTTGCTGTTATAGAGTTTCTGTGTTGTAAGAACGAGAGAGTGACAAACATTTACAAGAGATTGAAAAAGATGCACAGGGACGACGCTGTTGATCACAGTATAGATAGTCGTTGGACAAGCAGATCTAGGGACTTACCGCACGGCGGCAGCCCGAACACTATAGTGACTCCTAACAATGTGCAGAGTATTCACAATCTGATTTTGGTCATAAAAGCATAACACTGAAAGAACTATCAATCCAAGCAGAAAGGGTGTGTGGAGTACATCGAGACAGTTGAAGTTAAAAAAAGGTTTGCGCCAAGCGGGTTCCGAGAATATCGACGGATGCCCACAAAGAAACAGGGAAGACAGCAAACTTTTGGAACATTCCAAGAATGTGACGGGAGTTGAAACCTGGTTGTGTCACTTTGAACCAGACGCAACGGCAATCGATGGAATGGCATCGTGCAAACTCGCCGAAGCAGGAAATTCAAAACTGCACCTTCAGCAGGAAAAGTGTATTTGGAAAAAACATGATGTTTGCTGTTGCATGATTACGCCCAGCCAGATGTTCGTGTGAAAACCACCACCGAGATTACAAAGCTTGGGTGGAAACACCCACCATACAGCCGTGATCTGGCACCGTGTGATTACCATCCCTTCGGTAATCTGAAGGGATCCCTTCGCGGAACGAGGTTTAAAAATGACTCCCTCATGAAAACTGCTAAATAGTAGTTCAAACTTACTGGTCTTGATTTCTACTGTGAACGTATGCAAGTGGCGTAAGGCGGTTGAAAGGACGCAGAGATTATGTGGAAAAATGACATTTTGTCTCTCAAGAATGTGTCAAGATACTGAAAAAATATCGAAAATGTGGAAAATAAATTGAATTTTAAAAAAACATTCGATTTCAATAAAAAGGGCGAGGTTAAAATCCAACGAACAGTATGAAACGTTAATAGCAAATAGGCAACCAGCAATACATTTTTTTATATTTTGCTACACAAGTGTGTCTAAATATGAATTAATGCACAAATAACAGACTTTCCTCCATTCTAACGCAGATTTTCTATAAAATGGAGTTAGTTTGAAACTCAAATTACTTTTTGTTGCAAAGGAATTTGTAATTTGCCGCATTTGAACAAGCAAATTACAAATTTCTTTACACCAAAAAATAATTTGAGGTTCAAACTAATTCCAATTTATAGAAAATCTGCGTTAGAACGGGGGAAAGTCTGTTATTTGTGTATTAATTCATATTTCGACAAACTGTGTAATAAAATCTACAAAAATGTATTGCTGGTTGCCTATTTGCTGTAGAATCCTCAAGACAAACTTCTAAAAATGGCCGATTTCACGATGGAAATGATTTCATTAGTTGTTAGATATAGAGGATATATAGAGGAGTGAAGGTAGGTGAAAGTTAAACTAGGTCACATTTTGATAATAAACGTTCGTAAAGGGATGTTTTATACATTCATACGGAGAACTTTCACGATGAAAAAAATTCCAACAAACTTTGAGAAACAGTAAATTTAAAAATGTCGCTAAGTGAACGAACTAGCGGAAGAGCCACTTAAAAACCATTTCTGACAAAAACGAACATACAAGGTTAGAATTCTGTTTCCCGCTCACTTTGTACATTAGATTGTTGGGGACGATTACCACCTTGACGTTTCAAGAAGCAAATACGTTAGATTTTAACCAAACTTGCACCATTTTTGTGTATATAAAAAAAAAGATAGTGATAACGTTTACTGAAACTAGGGCATAAAATGTACATACTCGTTTTAGCTTATATATAGTTAAGTAAAGCTGCAAAGGCCTCGAAATTAAGTATCCAGTTGTCTCAATACATACTCGTCCAACGTTACAAATTCCAAAAGCGAAATTTTTGGATTACACGACCCTTTCAGGAATCCAATTTGATCGAAACACTTTGTATACCAAGCCGGGCCGAGGACGAGCAAATCCGTACCCTAAATCTAGATATCAAAATACATATTCGCTTAAATTTTTTTAGCCGTCGGATAGTTGCGCGAAAACTGAAATCCTCCCCGACCGGTCGAATAAATTAAGTAAAAGGTATCACTAATTGATTTCCTATCTTAATTAGGTCAGCGCCTAGGTCTGGCTTTGGTGGTACTGGGGTCGTCCGGCGAGTTCTAACAGGTAACGGTCAGGGTGGTCCAGCCAGTCGGCGGCGCTCATCTTGACGGTCCGTTGACGTTCCGCCTCCTTCACCTCCCACTTCTTCACCTCCAACTGTCTTTCCAGGCTCACGTGGTCGCCGCAACCCCACACCTCGATGCACTCCAGGTAGTAGGGTATTTTTTGGAATTCCATCTGTAAAATAGGGGAAAATAGTCACCAAAAGCAATCGATAGGTAAATATTTTGATTCTAGAAGGAATATTTTAGACGTTAATTTCATTTTTCTACTTTTATTCAGTATTCTGCGTATTCTAGTCACAAAATTATATTATTACGGAAAGTCTATTTCATTATCGGGATGTTGTATAAGTTCTCGCTGTTTTTTCATGAAAATTAACGTTTCAATTAAAAAAGTTAGTAAAAAACATGTCACTGAAAGAATTGTCCATCGCTAGCCACAATCTTTTCCCATCTTTGTGGTAGCATTTTAATTCCACCTCACAAAAATGACACATCTTTCGAAGCTATCCAAGAGGCGACTCATTTTTTGGCATTTTCATAAGAATGGAAGTGCTGCGCAGCCAGGCCATGTGCCATCCATTGGGACAAGTGATAATCGAACGAGGTAGGACTCATTCGGTTTGAGCCAACCACCAGAACCCACCCATCAAATGCAAAATGGAAGCTTAAAACCATGAGTATTGGGCTTTGCCGAAAATGTTGACGCATGGTGAGACTACTCCACGATTTTCTACGCTTAAGATTATCGTAGCATATCCATTTTTCATCGCCAGCCTCCCATTGAAGCAGTTGTTCACACGTTTACGTCTCTAGGCATCAATTCGTACGGCACCTAATGTCTTTGCTTTCGAATAATTCTTAATGCCTTCACAACGTTTCAAAATTGTTGTGTGATCAACTACTAATGATTCTGCAAGTGCGGCTAGCGTCGGACATGAGTCTTCATGAAGTAATGCCTTCAATTCTTCACCTTCAAACTGTTTCGGTGAGACAGAGCTTTCTTTATCTTCACACCAAAATCATTATTTTAGAAGCGTCTAAACCAATATCGGCATGTTGTTCGTGACAGAGCATAGTTGCCGTAAATGCCAACAAGAATTCTGTGTATTTCGGCTGCAGATTTTCCCTTCAAATACTTTTTATTAAGCATGAAAAAAAGTACTTTACACTTTGGTGAAATAACATTCACTGAATTTCAAACTTGCTTACGGTACTTCTTTATAGGTGAGTTACCATCTTAAACTACACACTTGCAGTTCTGATGCCGCCATCTGTTGGAAAACAGCGAGAACTTATTCAACATGAAATAAAACAGTAAAAACTGACTGTTGTCAAAGTTATTAAATAAGTAACTAATTAGTTATAAAATTGGGGGATGTTTGTTATTTTTAGGAGAATATGAATGAAGAAAAGGAAAATCGAGGCAAAAATATAGAAATAATACTAAATTATGAAGTACTTTTAAATTTTTTTATCCAGAATTTGCAGATAATTCTAGAATGTCTTTCATGTAAGGTCTTTTATTTTCCAAAACATATATGACTATATTGTTTTTATATTCTCCCTGAAAATCAATGCACTTTTGCATACGCTTGAACCAATTTTCAAAGTACTTTTTCCGTTTCGACTGAAGTACCTCCAAAACATGCATTTTGAACGCATCAACCGATTCTTCAGGAGTCGAAAAACGTTGACCTTGCAATTTATTTTTGTCTGGTAAAAAAAAAGACATTGGGTGCCAAATCAGGGCTGTATGGTGGACGATCCATCAATTTGACATTCAATTCTCAAAAAATCTCTTATTTGAGCTGATGTATGAGAGCTCGCATTGTCCTGGTAGAGAATGACGCATCTTCGACAATTGGCTTCCTTTATTTTTCCGAAGACTTCTGACAAACATTCAGAATTGACCGTCCGACGTGGAATTGACTCATCTTGAAAGACACCCATACAGTCAATTAAACTGCTGTTTACATTCGTTCTCGTACGCATAAATCCATGATTTGTCACCTTTTATGATGACTTAGAGGTGTTTTGAAGCATCACAATCGTATTTCTTGAGCATTTCTTTCGACCAATCCACGCCGGCCGTTTTTTGAGCATTTTTCAAATTACGTGGGATCCAACACATGCAATTTTTTTTTTGGCAGTCAAAGACTCGTGCAATATTGAACGTATGCTGGTCCCATTGATGCCCAAGGATGCCTCAATCTTACGATAAGTCGCATGACAATCTTCCTATATCGGTTTACGCACAACATCAATGTTTTCTGGAACAACAACCGATTTTGGACGACCTTCACGAGATTCGTCGGTGAGCAAACCACAACCACTATAGAATTTCGTATACCACCAATATACAGTGATTTTTTATGGTGCTTCATCGCTAAAAGAAAAATTAAGTTCATCGATGCACTACTGTTCATGATTTAAGTCCATTTTATGGCCGAGATGAATTTTTTAAGTCATTGTAAATAACACAAATAGCACCAGGATCGTCCATTCCCGAAATATTAAAGGCAGCCTTTATACAGTTTGCTTTAAAATGAAGACGTCACGCATGTGAAATTGACTATAAAAGTCGCCAGTATTCGCTGTTTAACAGAGCCTTGCCTGAACCTTCATCGGGGAAGCATCACTTGTTGTAACGGAAGATTTTCGCTTTATTTTTTTTTGTATTTAAAGCCTTTTTAAATAATTTGTATGGACAATTATCAAAAATAAAACATTTCATGGCAAAATTCCAAGAACATTGTAAACAGAAACCTGAGTTGTTTGTAAAGAAACGAAATATGAGGTTTATTTATTAATTAAAAGCACACATATTAATCGGATCCGGTAACGATACGGTCAAAAAAGCAATAAGGCAGTATTGGTTCAACGACGACACAAATATTTTTAAATTTCGACTTCAACTTTATACTGACCTTTTCAAAACCTCCATCGATGGTAAGAATTGGAGCCCTGGGGTCCTTACCGATGCGAAGGCCTTGCGGATACCCACGAACGCTCAAATTCAGGTACAGCATCTTTGCACCTCTTTCTAAGAGATGAAACCTGAAAATATACGAAGACGTTGCCAAAGAGTAAAAAAAATTCACATTACTAGGTTCGTTATCAAGTACGTAGGATATAACGATATAAACAGGCATTTTCAATTAAAACATTGAAAATGCAAATGAAAAAATCAATTTTGAGGCAATCAATTATCGAATTAAGTCAACTACGCCTCTTACTTGGGTAACAATTGGAAGACGGCGCATTCCTCCCCGCCCCAGTAATGGTGAGATTCTCTCCACTCGTTGGGAGCGGCGATGCAGAACTTCTGCCCGTCTTGTACTCTTAACAGGACCAGGGTCGGTCCCTTGTAACTGAGGACGTGATGGAGGAACCTGTTGGAGCCCAGTCCCATCTCGTCCGAGTCGTACAGTATCGTCCAGTGAGAGGGAATGGCGCAGACAAGTTTCGAGAGGAATGACTTACTCGCTAACCCTGGAAAATTCTAAAATTAATAGGAAAGAAGAGGAAAGTTAAATAATGTCGGAATTATGTGTCAATTACTTGCGAATTCAAAGAATACCGAAAAATCACTCTAATAATATATAAAACGAGGCATATTCACAAAGTAAAAGTACTGTAATGTGGTCTTTGTTTTCGACAAAGTTCATTTGTCTCAGTTAGTTGAGAACTGTTGTTGTAGTGGCACGTTGAAATGTCATTTCATGGTTCCGTTATTTACTTTTTTTTTATCAGAATTGTTTGTGCAGATCATGCAATTTACCGCACTTGGACCCTTTTCTTTGTTTTTTTTTTAATTCTAAGGTTTATGCCGACAAGCTCACAATCACCAACGCCTTGAAGCAGGAACTTAAGCGCTGTATCAATGAAATTCAGAATTTATACAAAACGGTCATGGAAAATTTCGACAAGAGTGTGCATGTCCCAGTAAAGTCATGGAGTCTCCATTTACCCGATATGCTATTCCATGCATAACCCTATACTGTATACTGACATGCGCCCCACGTTGGGCGCCGTGTCTTTTTCTAAGGCCTTCTGAAAATCCAAATGAGTCATGTATTGACATTCTTCGAGCCTATCCATGGAGAGCCACCACAGGACGTCAATCCCGGACTCATTTGGATTTCCAAAAGGACCTAGAAGGAGGCAATACTTGATGAGTCAATAAAAAAATTACAATTTTTAATTAAAAACCTGTGTTTTCTATCAAAATTACGTCTTGCGTGGATTTTGCGACACTTTCTTTAGTGGAAAAAATATCAAGACTGGATCGAAGAAAAAATACTAGAACTACAATAATACAGGGAATAAAACCTTTTTGTCTGTCTTACCCACACCGCTGTTGCTGGGCGACTGTGCTTTCTGTGGACGAGAATACAGAGGTGGTAGCGCTCCAGCCAAAAGCCAAGACATGCTCATGGTCAGCATGTGGGGGTGCGGTTTGGCTTGAGGAAATGGGTTTTGTTGCTCCAACACGGGCGTGGCTAGTTCCAGACCTATAAATAATTTCCTCTCAGAAAGCTGAACGTAGAGAACGTCGGTTAAAACCACGTATCCACGAAATTAATCAAACGGGGTTAAGAAACGTTTTTTTTTTTAATAAAAACTTAAAAATCAAAAGGACTCGGTACAAATTTTAAAAAATACATGCATTATCGATGTCCTGGTAGAGGTCCAAAATTTTTAAAAAAATAAGACTAAAAAATTTTCCAGAAAAATTGTAAAAATTCAAAAATTTGGAAAAATTTAACAACATATTAAAAAAATTTATCTTTTTAATAACTCTTAGAAATTATTTTAATAAAATAATCATGACACCATTTTCGCAGAATGTTTTTTGTCTGAATTTGTTTTTAGTTTATATGAAATTTGTTTAAAAAAATATTTTAACCGTTGATTCTTTAATTATAGGGAACTGAAATTTTCTTCCTCTTCTTTGCTTACTCATGAAAATTTTATGTTTTGTTTCTTTTTGATGATTTAAATAAAATATTTTAATTTACCTGTTGATTTGCGCTTTATCTCTACTAATTCAAGATTTATAATAAATATGTTATTTTCATACTCTCCGAGGTTAATTCCAGCAAAATATATCTGGAAAAATATTTTAATAAGTATTTTTCAAGTGATTTTATTTTGAGATTCTTAAATTTTTTTGGACATTTTTTTAGTTTTTCAGGTTTTTTCCGAATTTTTAAATCTCTATACAGGATGAGAGTTTCTGTTTTATTTCACCCCCATGGATAGATTAGTTTTTTTAACAAAAGAACCTCAAAAAATTTTTTTTTACATGTACAAGGTGTTTTGATTTGTAGGCCACTAGTAGTAGTAAAAAAACAAAAAAAAAAATAAATAAATTTTTAAATTAGAACTATCTCAGAATTACAAATCCTAAGCTTGTTAAATCTTGTGTAATTCTTTTTAATTTCTTAATTTTTTAATTCTTAATTTTTGAAAAATTGCATTAACAATTTCTTTATCTCCGAAAATGTTCCAATACCTTTTTTTATACGTCTGGTAATTTTTAAATTTTATGAACAAATTTAATAACTTCTTCTTGGCATATTTTCATTACCTTCAGTGTAGTGAATTAATTTATTCCGAATTAACGTTAAAAAAAACAATACACTGCCAAAATTTCAAAACGGAATTCCTATTCGTTCCGGTTTTATAAGCCTAAAACCGAACGCCCATCGAGCACAGCAGGTAGGGCGGAACGCTTGTTCAAGTCACTTGTTAACCAAGAAAAGAACAGATACAAGCTCAGAATGATGCCTATGAGGAAGAAGAAGAACTGTTATATGTGGTGGAATCGCTGACTGATCGGAAAGCACTCTATATTATTGACAAATTTCTCGAATTTCTAGTTTTTGGAAATCTTCAAACGCGTTTTTCTCGAAACGACATTTTTTTCATTCACAGGAACCCTACTCAAAAAGTTATGAAATAGACCGAAATAACTCATTTAGAGGGAAAAAAAAGAAAACTGAAATTACTGAAAAATTCATTGTTGCGTCATTTTTTATTTTATTTTTTGCATTTTTGAGCATGTTTTTGAACTTGATTACAGATTTCTTTATTTCACCAAAAAGTATGTCAAAACGAAAAAAATGATTATCGGCAGAACTCTGTACGATGATTTTCCTAAGTAGAATTTTTCTTTGAAAAAAGTGTTTCGTACCGGAAAAAATGAATCTCAGAAATTTCTTGATTTTTTTATCTAAATAAATTTGTGGTTATTTAAGACAGACCAAGTTTCGTCAAAATTAAGTTATTTTTGCGGAAATGAGAAATAAAAAACGAAAAATGTGACCTCTACAAAAGTGGTAGATTTTTGCATGATCTACAAGTTTTGTATTCAATGCTTTTTCGTTTGACATCAACTTTCGCCAGAAGTCCCAATGATACAATTTTTCACAACTTTTCAACCCTCCAAATCAACCCTCCGCCACCCTTGCTGACGCATGTTTACCATTTCCACTTATAAAAGTTCAGGTAAATTTTTTTTTCTCCAAGTGTAATTTGGTTGGACTAAAACAACCATTATGAAAATTGAAAGTGTATTTCTACTAAGAATATTTCAAAAAAAGACAAAAAATTGTAGCAGGCCCAGGATTTGCAATTTGAATGAAGTTATAGTGTCCCAACAAGCGCGTATTTTTAAATTCTTAAAAAATATATATTTGAACTTTTTTTATTTGTTACATTAATGGTCTGCATACCTATAAATCAGAACACGTTGTATATAACAATACTTTTTTCCTGAAACCGACCGAGTTTTTGCCAGTATCGATTACTGATAATTTTTAATTGAACAGAAAAAACATTCCAATTTTTTACAGTCGCAACACACAAAAGCTGTATATTAAAATAATTAATGCAACATATCACAGTAGATGGTACAATTTAAGTTGTAAACATATTTTAATTTAGATACAGTCCAAAGGTAAGGTTCAATTTTATTAGACGGAATCATAAAAAATGAATAACAGATCTATAAATTATATAATTATTTACCTTAGAAGTCATTGTTTGTATGTTATTATCAATCAATTTTAATCCCATTCAATAAATCAAAGGTTTTGTGATAAATCCAAGTGATATAAAAATACTTTTTATATCTCCTTAAATCAGAATATAACAAAAAAATATTTCTACAAATTTTACCTATACAGAGCCCCAAATGGCCAGCTTGTTTACGTTTAAAAGTAATTACATTTCTCGTCATTATGCAACACAATAAAAAAAATCAGTTAAAAACGGTCTATTATCAATGATTAATGTTTTGGTTAGTTTAGAGTTAAAATTAAACCTTGCCTCATAGAACTAAGCAACACAGAAAATTTTCTAGCTCAGACATCAGATTAAGCAACAGCTATTCAACATTTTTTTTGTGTTTACCTGGATAGGCCACTATATCCCTAGATTTACCTAAAAAAAAAATATCGGAATAAAATAATTACCAATTACTCAAAGCCTTATCCGACGGATTATGGCAATGTACATACTTGACGCATGAAATTCGAAAAAGTGATGATTGAATATAAAAACAAGTAAACATTGTTAAGTAAATGTTTGAACGTGTACGTTATGTCACCGTTTATGAATAAACCGAGATAAATTTTATAATTTGAGATACATATCATTATTTCATTTAAAATTTCCTAAACGGCCGCTAATTTTTATTATAAACGAAAAATTCTATAAGGCGAGAAAACGTGTTTAATAGCAATAAAAGCGTAAACGTAAGGTCGAAGTATTATTCACTTTATGGCACTATAAAAATAGTTATCCTACATAAAATATTGGCACCCGCATTATGTCATTTTTAGTCGGAAGATAATGATATTTGTTCCAAGATTAATAAAATTAATTAGTCAGAATACAAATTTGAGTCGCACAGCAATTATTTTAGTGTACGATAAGGAGAATTTCATGTAGAATGAGTCACTATAACTAAAAACACGTCATTATACTAAAGGTATCTTTTAAATTAGATTACAAAAAAAATTAATTCAAAAGCGTAGTAAAAAACTCACCAGCAGCCAACGATTGCTCGCACTCCTCCAGAGTCCTCCAGGAAGTAGCCAGAGAATGCACCGCGTATCTATGTAGCGGGAAGAGTATTCTAGGAATGTTGCTCTGGATCCAGTGCGAGACAAACTGAACGGATAGACTCTTCTTGGAATAAAAACAACTGTCGACGACGGCCTTCAGCGTCTTGTTCGACGAAAGGCACATCTGTGGCCCCTCGGAGTAGTGATCCATGCTGATGTGGTACGTGCACATGAGCAGGGAGGTCATACCTTCTGGGGTCATTACTTCGCCCGAGGGATCTTCGCCTTGACTCGCCCACATTCTCACCAAAGTGTCCCGGATCACGTCGTCGTCTAATATCTAGGTTTATAAAAAATAAATAGTTTGAAAGGGAAAGGGGAGGGTTGTCCTTACGGCTAAGTAATTCTCGCATTGTAGCTTGAATGCCGTGGTTCCTATGTACGAATTTTTAGACTTGCTGTGGGTGTGAAAGTAGTCGAACAGTTTTTCGCCTAAAACTGGATATCTCGGAAATAAGTAATGCTGAAAGGAAAAGTTATATTTTAAAACCTAAAAAAACGTATTAAAAGCAAACAAGAATAAGCGGTTAAACAGTATGCCACATAAAACTTTGCCACGTTATTTTTTTGCAAAAACGTACAGGATTTTCATTTACTTATATTATTACACCTTTAAAAACTAGAAAAAAAAGAAAGAAAGACATTTTGTATACAAACATTTTTGGGTTTTTCCCACACTGCTATTAGAGATCAATAAAATAAATTAATATAAAAAAGTCTAGAAGCTTAGATTTACAAACACACCAATGTAGGTGTCAAAATACCACGAAATCCCCACATTAACAACAAAAACAAATCCTTATATAGGTACACAAACCTATTTAGTTAAATTAAAAAATAAGACTTCTCTTTTTTTCTTTCAACCTTAATTGATATGTTTTCACATTCCCGCACACCTACATGCATTACTTTAATGTTCCATTTTATTATGATACAATAAACATAAAAAGTGAATAAAAAAACTATGAAATAGTGATCAAGGTTAGATAACAAGCTTGCCTTCAAATATACTGCAACCCATGAACAATTTAATTGTTAGACAGTAACATTAGAAGTCACTTTCAAGAAGATATTACATCACTCTCGATATCATGTTTTCACTAAAACTTATTATGTTAGTACGTTTGTTTACTGAGTTTAAGTGTTTCATTCTCCATTAGATTTCTAGGTCAAAATTATGTATGCATTTGTCATATACCTAAATGTAATTACAACATAATAAAAATCATAGCTTCTATTTTTCATATAAAGTGAAATAAAACTGGAGCACATTAAATTTAATTACCAAATGTAGGCCAGCAAATAAAATAACAAAATCCGTTAAATAGAATAAATATAGTTGAATAAATATAGTTAAGTAAATGGGATATTTTAAGAGCTCAATAAAATATTATGAGTGGCAATTTTCCAAAGCATATGGCAAAAAAATGTGAAATCACTTACTGTAAAAACTTTGGGGGTAATTCCACTGACTCCTTCCTCTTTTTGGGCTTTTTCTGTTAGAATCTGCAACCAAACCATTTTCAAAATAATCAAATTAAAAAATGGCGCCTCAAAACAAAACAACTACCAACACTAAACACTTAAATAAAAGGACAACTGTTAATTATTTTGCGCTTCACGTCGAACATATATCATTAACGTGACTGGAGTGCAATTTAATTGATTTAACACGGTCTGATAAGATAAGATATACGTCACCTTGGCTAATTTTTCCGTGGGCAATATTTGGAATTGGGTGGGCTGCTTTTCTTCGATGTCGTTACCAGACGTCGTCCTGGATATGCTCTTCCTCGAGCCATCCTGGGAGCTTGCGCCAGAGCTTGGGGTCGAATTTCCCGATTTGTGCCCGTGCCCATGATGGTTACCCATTTTTTTTCTAACTTTTAACTGACATTCTCCATCCGCGTCACAACTGCGAACTGGGACTAGCAAACTAAATTAAATTCACTGTTTGCATTTTGTGAACTGGCAGCACTGGGTGTTGCTTTTGAACTACTGCAACAAAAGCAAATATTTGTTGTTACTAAATTATTATACATGTGACTTATGCAAATGAAATTTGTTTTTGGTATTATTTTGAGATTAAATTTTCAAGACTCATGCATTATTATATTCAAATGCTGGAAACTGGAATATGATACATTTGACCTACAGTTACCTTGTCAATTCGTATTAGTCATACTGATAATTTATACAGGGTGTAAATAAATAAGTATAAAAAAATTAAGGAATTTCCCTTTGGTAACTACGGATGTACGGATTTATTTACATCTCGTACATAAGTTTTGAAGTATGTGGGTTTAAATTTTAATGGTTATAAATTTGATCCTATTTAAAAAAAAATAAAAAGTAAAATTATTTTATTTATAATATAATGTATTCCTCACAAAAATAAACAGATACGCCTTATCTTACTATTAAAGTTACAATCTTAAGTTATAGATGAATCAGATTTAACGTTTCTTTTTACTTTTCCTTTTGCTTGATGTTTTTGGCTGTTCTCCTATAGTAACAGTTCCCCCTGCTATATCTTCTTTATCGTCAGATTTTTCAATAACCTGAAAACAAAATGCATTATTCTACCAGTTAACCTAAAAAAAAGTAATTACTATGAAATATACTTACCCTCTGTGCATCTATAAAGAACATAAGATCTCTAACTTGTTCCTTCAATTCAGAAACTTCTTTTTCCTTGTTCCGTTTCAGTTCGTTAAATTTTTCTTCCAAGTTCGTTATTTTGGCTTGCCACTGTTGCTGATTATTTCTAAGAGCTTTGCCTAACTGCCTTTCTTCATTTAAGTCGTTTAAAGTAGCCGCTAATCTAAAATCTATACGTTGATTGAAATTGTTTTTGAAAACTACACGTTTTAAATTACTTTGAACCTTGTTGTTGCAACTTTCGCTCGACGGCCTGTTTTTCCTTGCTGACAGCGGACAATTTTTTTCGTAGAACTTTATTTTCTTCTGATATAGCAGCAACGTCTTCCCTAAGATGTTTAGTCTCGTCAGATAACTGACTTTCTAATCTAAAATGTAATGTAATAAAATTTAAGAAAATCGTAAGCAACAATGTCAATACAGTGCTAATTTATCCTCGAAGTACATCCGTTGTTCTTCTAACTGTGAAGTTAGCAGGTATGTGAATTCTAGCTGTACGGAATCAACTTTTTCTTGGGCGCCCTCTGATTCGGATGGCGGACCCTCAGATGGCACCAACTTACCATCTGCTTTGTTCTGTAGAAGTCTATGGACAAAATTATCACCTACGAGAGTACATTATCCAAATATCAAAATATATTTATTTGAAAAATTAAGAACAATTTTATAATAAAACCACCTCAAAATGATATGAACGTAATAATAAAAGTAACTAAAAATGACACAAATAAATAATACAGACAATAACACAAACTAATTTATTATATACACGACACCGTTGAAAAGTAGCAGTATGAACTTTTACCTTTATAATCCCAAACCCTATGCGATCCTAACTGCAGAGCATAGCAATGTCCCGATTCTCGATAATGAGAAGCGGCGTGACCTCCTTGATATCTGAAAGAATATACATTCGTAGTTGCTAAAAACTAAATGACAAACATTTATTTATTACCTTCCGCACCCAACGTGGCCACAGATAAGGCATATCCACAGTGCGTCGGGAGAAGGTGCAGAAGTACCACATTGCTCGCATTCCGACGTTTCTGCTTGTTCGGGACTTTGAACGCATCGACATACTGGACACGTCGAATCGCCCCACTGCTCAAGACAGCTGGCATGGAATGCGTGGTTGCATAATATTGTTAAGACACCATCGACGGATTCATCCATACGTTCTAATAAGAACAGTATTATTGTAGCGTAGTTTCATTGTGTTGTATTTCTAAAAATTGTTTAAAAAGTGGTATTTACCGAGACAAACTGGGCATATAGGCAATTCGGTGTGGCCCGGTGGCGGTAAACCGTCATGAGCCCATTCTACCTTCGAAACCCAAACTATTCTGCAAATACTGTCTGGATCGAGACTACTAAACGGAGCCCCGTTAAACGTTAAATAAAACTCCATTGCTGCATCATGATTTCGAAAACTAAAAGTAAATAGTAATTCAATCTGGTTTTTATTTTATGAATACCTTACGTTAATAAGGCCATATACTGATTAGGTGAAGAATCCCTCAATACTCTAATGTGAGATATATCAGCATGACAGGGTGCTGTAAACGCCAACAAATCATGGCAAGTCATCGACGTTGGAACTCCGAGTAAGCACAATGTTAATGCTTCTTTCCTGCTGCTCAAAACACTAAAATACAAATCAAATTTAAGAGCATATCTTATACTTAAATGCTCAGAACATTTACTCCTCTTTATACAAATGGAGAATGCCTTTGGTAACTTCTACGAATGGGTTCCCACTAAAAAAGCCAATTTCACCTTTTTCTTCAACTGGCTCTTTGTTCTTATCGCCAGAAGGGGTTGTCTCACGAGAACACAGTGGTAGAAGTCCCCAGTCATCTCTAGGGCTTTCTAAACGGCTTGGGAACGTCTCCACGCTAATATCACGAATTTTTCTCTGTCCTCTTCCCTTCTGATTCGGTTTGGTTTCAGAATTTGATAAAGCTTCCGCTCCTCTAGAATCTTCTAAAATATTACTTACTACACACTATTTTACGAATATATGAAAACCTACCAGCATCTTGGGATGTTTCATTTACTTCCACACGCAAAACACATTTCGAAACTAGATCTGACATAGTTAATCCGTTTATGATTTTATCCGTAATGTAAACGTCAAATTTATAAATAAAACGCCATGTTTTTGAACTTGAACTCTTGAACTTCTAGTAGTGATAATGGTTTTAAAAGCTGTTATCATAACATAATCCAATAGGTTAAATTGCATTCGTGACATCTGCCCTCTTTCGTTACATTAAAAAGCTAATTTCGTTTGATATCCTTTCAATAATAAATGATAGATGGCGCCAGCTTGCACACGACCATTGGATATATGAACTACCAGTAGGTATATTTAATCAGTAGATCAATGTAAAGTCTTGACAATTAACCTTCAACAGTTATGTAGCTAATTTCTCGGTTAGAATCATTTACAGATTCGCGGGATAGATGGCGCTGAAATAAATAAGGCTTAAGACGTCAAATGTGTCGACAATTTGACAATAAAAATAAATATCAATAAGTTCCAATGATACTTATTGGAAAATAATCACAAATGTCCGGTTATAAAAGAGTCAGCTTTTATGAATTATGTAGATTGTGTGCCTCTAATAGTCAAAAAGAAAAGACACATATCTTCCAAGAAGAAGGGCGAAAAATACAATTACAAAATAAGATACAAACTTGTTTGGCATTGACGGTATGTTTATTTAGTCGGCTAGTAGTATTTTAAACATTACTGCTTTTAAGGTGAACGAAAATGACTTTCTACCGAAAGTTGTTTGCTCCAAATGTCTGCGAAATTTGGAAACCTGTTTTGGTTTTCGACAAGAGTGCGTTAGGTCAGAATCCATGCTCTCTACATATTTTAAAAATTTTAGATATACGGAAGACTTTAAGAAGTCTGGGAAGGTATGTTATTAATAACATTTGATCGTAACTTCTAAATTTGTTACCGTTTTGTTTTCAGGTGTACATAAAAGACATAAAACCGCAACCTCCTCCTCCTCCTCCGGTGCAGCAAAATCCGGAGATATCGACATCAAGTAATGTCACGTCAAGTAACATAGCAAATGCAAATCTGACTCCAAGCAATCTAACACCAGTAACTCCAATTTCTACATCAAATCCAAACATCATAACTATAAACAAGAATCAGGGTCAACCCATGGAACAAATTCCTGTCTACACCTTACAACTTCCCACTATTGTTTCAAATCCTAACCTAAATGGCATTAAAAACCAAAAAACCGACATTATAGAAAACAGACTATCGTCACAGTTGGCACAGAACCAGTTCGCTTACAATCTAAATTTAATGAACACGACTGCCATTAAAACAAACCTGCCGAAAAACGAGATGCTGAGCAACGTCGTGGTTAACGCCAACGGTGAAGTTATTAACATCGCCCAAATGGGCGATTTTGAAACAATTCTAAATCAGGGTAACGTAGTGAAGAGTAAGTATAAAACTTTGAAACGATCGAAGGATAGGATGGAAAATTGTACGCAGGACGACAATATTGTAAAAATTGATCTAACCGATTCGAGTAACGTTTCCCCTGTGTACGAAATAGAACAAAATGCAAAGTACGATAAATTACCCCATATAAAAACTACCCAGAATCAACCCAACAAATATACCTATTCTTTAAAACTGGACGAGAAAACTCAAAATCAGAATCCAACGGTTATTTTTCCCATATCCGAATACAATCAAACTTTTAATAATTTTACAAACAACAACGCCACACAGTCGAATATGAATATAGCCACTAGTAGTAACAGTATTTCTACAAATTCAAACGTCATATGCAACACGGGGACAAACGTCGAGAACTCTGCCATAAACATAAACCTCTTAAGCCAAAGCATGCAGGAAATGACACAGGTCGGATTCACAAACGTCATTTCCAATACAAATGCTAACGTCTTGAGCAGCCCCAACGAAAGTGATAATAAAATTAACGTACAAGTAAACACCGTAACGGACAATAACAATACGACTAACACCAGTGCAAATACGACACCCGTGAAGGTGCACGTGTGCGAAATATGCCAAAGGGGTTTCAAGAGACGGGAACACCTCTACCAGCACGTTAAGCTGCACACGGGGTTCCGACCTTACATCTGCGAGAGCTGCAGTAAGGCGTTTATGAGGAAAGAGCACCTGCTCAGGCACAGCACCTTGCATTCGGGCCAGAAGAATTTCACTTGTAACATATGCGACAAGAGCTTCTCGAGAAACGACAATCTCCTGAAACACAAGAAGACCCACGAGAAGCAGTCGAGTTACGTGTGCGAGATATGCCAGAAGCACTTCGTTATGAAGCATTATTACAACGCCCACAAGTTGACGCATGGTGACAAGTGCTACGTTACTTCCGTTTGGGGTATGCTGAAGACATAATGTCGTTTCTTATCGTTTTGTATAATAAAGTGCGGGTTTCTTGCTTTTTTGTACAGTTTTTTAATAATATTGGGGGTAAGAAGTAAGAACAAATCTAGTCAAGAATACTTTAACTATTGTCAAAATAAAATAGTATATTTTCATGTTTGGGAATAGAATATTGAAAGTTTTTCGCAAAGATAATCAATCTTATTTGTTTTTTTAGTGAAAATTTGTTTTAATAATTTTATTTAAATTTTAGAATTTTAATTGTTTAAAAAAAGCAAGGAACTGATTGGAAAACTGGAATATCCTATGTAACTGAGAATTATTTTCTACTACAAAACGCCTTAGCAGGGCTCGGTATTAAATTTTGTATTGAGAGGACCAAAATAAAAACTAGCGATTTTTATTAAAAATTTATAAACGCAAAATTTAAATGTTTGTACAACCAAGCCAGAAATCGACAATAGATCTTTACTTGTAGAATTGTTTGTTTTCTGTGATTTAATTTTTTTATCATTATAATGGGATTTTTCAGTTTTACGAGAAAATTTATATTGTACATATACATTTTATTATTTTCAAAGTGGTTTTTTATAGTGATCTACCAAATAGAAATCTCCTTAATAATATTCACTATCAATTATATGTATATTATCATGGAGTGACTATTTGGTGCCAGTTAGCTTATTTTTATTATTTATTTATTGAAAAAGTACAAAGTTTATTTATTCTAGATTACTTGTAGTAGCTTAGCAGCTAGTATTATACTTTTTATCTTTTAGTGGCCATATTTTTATTTTATATAATTTATTTATTTTAAATTATTTTAATAGCAGCATAACTAAATTTCAGCAGTTTTAAAAACTGAAAGTCTACAAAACTGAGATTACATAATCTAGTCAATAATATGTCAAAAATAAATATTTAAAATATTATTTTTGAAACAAAACTATTTGTTTTTAATATACAGGGTGGCCCAATAGTGTGTCATAAAGATTTGAAAAGAAATATTTTATGGGAGTGATGTTCTTAGAAAAGTTCACATTTTAAAAATATTTTGAATTATACAGGGTGATGCATTAGGGTGGAGCATCTTCAAGGTGGTTTTTCTTAAATGGAACACCACTCAAAATACTCAAAATACTTTGTTGGCATGCAGACGAAATATGTAAACAAACAACAAAATAGCAAAATCTTTATAATTTTGTACAGGGTCTTCTACACATAAGCCTCAGTTTAGCGAATTTCGAAGAACATTTTCTCGATTTTTTTAAATGGAACACCCGGTATATTATTTTGTTATTTGGATTAATATGTTAATTACCTACAACTTTTGTAAATAATACCCTATGCCTAAAATCACTATTTTCGGAAATATTGGCACTTTTCTAGCAAAACCCCTTTAATTTTGCAAATTTTACTTTTTATTACTCCAGTAGGCCATGAGTTTGACATAAAATAACAAAATCTGCAAGTTTATGTTGTTGTTTAATTGGCAGTAGTGTAAACTGCTGGATTGTAAGTTTAAAAATACTTCAAAATGAACTTTTCTCAAGCAGAAATGGTTGATATGATTTATGTATTGGGTGTAAGTGATAAAAATACTTTATTAACATGAATTTGTTATCGCTATCCACAAAGAAGGCAGCCCAGTGTACGAACTTTTAGAAAAGTAATGGATTGTTTTGATAATTCCGGTACTGTAGCTTATTGTAAAAATGTTTGGGAAAAAAGAACATTCACTGAAGAAAATGAATTAAACGTTCTTTTAGCTGCTACTGAAGAACCTCATATTAGTCAACGAGAAATTGGTATTGATATAGATATTGGAAGAACGTCTGTTCAAAGAATATTAAAGGACAATAAAATGCACCCATATCATGTCCAATTATTGCTGGAATTAACTGAAGAAGATTGCGGAAGACGATTAGAGTTCTGCGAGTGGGTTGAAAACAAAATTATAGTCTGGAAATAAAGAGAGTAATAAAACCCCGAGATAAGAACCGGCCTAATTATCGGGTAACACTAATGCTAACAGGTAATGGGTGTACATTAGTATATTTTACTGGATACATCATAGGGCAGGAGCCAGTGTATTGTGACAGATCAATCCAGTCTTAGAGCTGAATATACGAAGACATGCTAGTGCAGTAGAGTAAAATTCGACTTGTGTTTAGTGACTATTGTGCCAGTGGATATAATATTGTTTGGGTAAAATGTCGAGCTTATCAGATTACGTACCTGCTAAACGCGTGAAAAGATGTGCGCTGTCTCAGAATGAGAAGATTATTATATTAAGTGTATTTAATGCATTGAAACACCAAAATCCTACCAACAGTGTTGACGATATCGTGGAAAAGTCGATAATTTAATTGACGTTACTGTGGAACCTATCGTTATATCAATCTAGGAGACGAAGATAATTCATCAGAATATTCAGAGGATGAATTTTAATATACCTACTTTTTTATTTTCTTTATTGTACATTTATACAACACTACATTTACTCACCATAATTTGAATTTTCAAAATACATATATTTTTGTGTGGAATAAAAGTCTATTCATTAAATTTAAATAAATATTTTGATAATAATATTGAATAATTTTATTTGAATTACTAAAAACTCTCTTATCCCGGTTATGATCCTTAAAGTAGCCTCATGTTTTGAAATGCTGTTTTTATATTATTTACTTATAAGAGAAATGGACCGAGAAATTGAAGCGGCATAGAAAAAGATGGATTGTTGGGGATTAAATTTTAGCTACCTGCTACAATTTAGTACAACCCGGTCACACAAAGTTTTTTTAAAAGTACACCTCATCTATACCGATAATATATAATATAAAAATATTGAATATAAGCACCAGTACTACATTTATTTACGATTTGCATACATAATAAGCTTTTATTACTCTCTTTCATTTCTAAACAGACTATAGAATAGAACGTGATTTTACAGATTTTTCCTTTTTGGAGATGAGGCGACTTTTCATAAAAATGGCCAACCAACATAATTTTCATTATTTTGTCACAGAAAATCCACATTTTGTGAGAATGCACTCACAAAACAAATGGAGTTTAAATTTAATGGAGGACACTTTAAACATTTAGTTAGATAGTTAAACTGCTTATTTAGTTAGTACCTATTTATATTTCTTTTATTTTTATACTAAGTATTTATTTTATTACTAACACTTCTTCGATTCTGTTCATTTGTAGTAATTCTTTGTTCTTTTTAAATTTTGTTAAAATCTACTTTTAATCATTAAATTTAGCATTTTTCTGTTGTTTGACTAACTTACTATTATTTTGAAAAAAATATACATTTTCCACCTGACCTGACAACTTTTTGTCATTTGTGATTTTCTATGGTTTTTATCAATTTCGTCTTAGCCCGGACAAAAACAATTACCTTAACAATATTCATTTTGTTACTGTTGGCGGATAAAGGATAAATTATAAATTTTGTTATTTGATGGCAAACTCATGGCCTACTAGAGTAATAAAAACTAAAATTTGCAAAACTAAAGGGGTTTTGCTAGAAAATTATCTCATTTTCTCAAATAACTTGGCATGGCTGCATCAATTACAAGGCTGCATCGATTACAAAGAACAAAGACATTGCTGGAAAGAGAATTTTCTGTAGAATGCAAATTTGTAAAAATATACAGAATGTTCCATTTAAGAAAAACCACCTTAAAGATGCTCCGTTCTAATGCATCACCCTGTATAATTCAAAATATTTTTAAAATGTGAACTTTTTTAAGTATATCACTCCCATAAAATATTTCTTTTCAAATCCTTATAATAATTAAACATTGACACCCTATTGGGCCACCCTGTATAAGTTAAATTAACAAGAATAAATTTCAATGCCGAGGACAACTAAAATAATTTAGTTATGCTATTTATTGTTCCTACAGCTTTTTTCTGAAGAAAAGTAAAATATATCTTGATTTATTGCGGATGAAGTATTATATTATTTGTGCCTTTTGCGTTTAAGAAACGCAGAAATTTATAAATAATTGTCAACTATATCATATTGGAGAATACCAAAATTAGAGCATTATTATGAATCTAGTCGAGAATTTTATTCATAGTACTGAATTAGTTTGTATGGATTTATTTTCAAAATAAAATTATACTTTACCTATTCTAGTATTTTCACTGTCTTAAACTCTCTGTAATATCTTTTTACTGAAGTTTTTAGAAATGTCGATGACATATTTAGAAGATTTGTACATAAAAGACATAGAAACTCAGTTCAAGTTTATTATGAAGAATTAATTTAATACATTTAGAGTAAAAATACTAATATGAAGAGTATTAAAAACCTGAAATATTTTTCATTTAAAAAACGCGGTGATTAGTATGAATTGATACAGGGCAGGTGACTGTAAAATACCCTAAATTTTTTACCAATAACTCTAAAATGCTTTGCCTGACTTAAATGAAGTAGTTCCATTTATGGATCTCTGAAAAGTAAAGCAAAAAGTAAAGATTGATTTATATCAGTACCACTTAAGCCATGCAAAATTTATACAGGGTGTTTTCAAAAGAAGTAGCACAAATGGTACCAGTGAGTCTACATCTGAAAATAACACGTATGCATATAAGTTCATGTAGGTATATATTTTTTAAAGAAGCTTTTACTGACATCATTTTCGTATTCTTCTCTCAGCAAACCCTTTCATTTGATACCCATACCATGGGGGTGCATAAAAAATAACTAGTCATAATTTTTCGAAAATTTCTGCCCCTTGGAGGGGATTGAAATAAGCATTCAAAGTTATTTTTCGCTACAAATTTTTTGCTTGACAAAAATTGGATATTAAAAAATACATATCAGATAGCTTGGTTTACTTTAAACTTTCATTCATTTGGAAAACACTGAATATGATGGCTCCTCGAAGCTTGTCCCTAAATCTGTACGCAACGGCTGGTATGTGGGATCTGGGGCGCCGCCCCTCCCCCTAGGAATTTTCATAGTAAAAAAATCTAGATAAATAAATGTTAAATTTGTAACATGCAGTCAATTTAACTCGACATACAAAATTCATTTGATCTTTCAAATCAGTGAATACGTTGCTCGTAGCTCCCCCTTAAATCTGCAGTGTTTCCAGCGGTGGTCATGGTTACCGTCGCGCAATAGTGAAAGACGGTAGTTAAAAATTGCGGCGTCTTCTTATTTTTGCAGTGTGTTTATTCTTCTTTTTTGACCAAACCCCGTATTTTAGCATTTCTTGTTTATCAGGAATAACTTTTGCTCGAAAAATCAACAATAAAACGGTTTACAAGAGTGCGCGGTACCCCATCCGGCGACACGCTCTATCTTTTCTATCACTCCAGGAAACCCCTCAAAAAAAAAGAAACAACTGAACGTCGATTTAAATATACAGGGAGACATTAGTGTGAAAAAGTAAAATAACTCCCTTGTTATTCATAATACAGAAAAAAAGTTTATATAAAAGTTGTACAGAATCAAAAAACCTAAAGGACAAAATTAATTTTAAACACAGGGCGATCAGTAAAAACGGGGCACGGCAAATATTACATTTTTTAAATGGAACACCCTGTATATTTTTAAACATATGGATTTATGAGAAAATTCTATATATGGCAATATAAACAGTTTAACATTTAAGTGCGGGGTTGCCAAGTTATGTAGAACATTCTTCAAAATTTGGAAAAAACATTACCTCGAAGAAATTATTTCAACACTTGGAGCAAAAATATTTGACATAGTTATAGGCAAATGTTAGGCAAAGTCTCCTATATTAGCTAATATCGATATTTTATACAGGGCATTTTTTATAATACGATAATTTTAAGAAAGTTCAAACTTTGATTTTCTAAAATTTGTCAAATGGAACACCCTGTATTTTATTGCTCTATTTTATTCACATATCAGTCCACTTCAACTTTTATTATGTATGTTCTACACGTAATGTTGTCAGTTTTTAAGATATAGCAACAATTCTGGAAAAACCTAGGTAATTTTTATTATTTTCGGTCGCACGAAATAGCTTTGGAAAAAACTGTCACATTGTGTCAACTTGTCAGTTCATAATTTATCAATGCATTTTGAGTTCATTTTATTAGTTAATATCTAATTGTGGTATTTTATAAAATAATAAAAATGTAAGTTTTTTCAGAAATGTCCCACTAAACATTTTTCAGTTTCTGACATGTTTCAGAAACGTTTCCATTTTTCTTGAAACGTTTCATAAAAAACCCATGCAACGTTCTGGTAACGTTCTAGAAGCCCAAGATGTCCTCCCCAAAATACGTTTCCAATGAAACGTTTCAAAAAATTGGTTTCAGTAACATTCTTTTTATGTTCCATTTATGCCCTCGATATTTTTGTTTTACGTTTCAGTATATTTTCAGAAATGTTTGAGTAACATAATAATTTTATTACCATATTGTTCTCATAATGCTCTCAACTTTAGATCATTTTCATTTCAAAAGCGTTTTTGAAATAGTATAAATAGTGTGAGTATTTTTTTAAATATCTCTAATACTCCTTTGTGATATTTTTATTTGTATTGTGAATGACTTAATTCGAACTAAAAAAAGTTACATTGTATATTAAAAAAAATAAATATGCTCTTCTAGTTTGGGGATGCGGCAACTTTTACTAAGAATTTCTTTCTTTTTGAGAAGCCACTGAAAAAAGTTTCTAATATGGATTACGAATTTTGCCATTCATCGTACAAATAAAAATATCACAAAACAATATCAGAAGCATTAAAAAAAAGCTACACATTTTATATAGTTCAAATACGCTTCTGAAATGGAAATTTTCTAATGTTGAGACCTTCATGAATATGGTAACAATGACGAACTGATAATTAGAAAAAGTTAGTTATGATTATGAATCTTAAAATGGTAGGTACATGAAAAACAAATAACATTACTGAAAAATAATATAAAGTTATAATTTCTTCTACGCATGGTCAATATTACATATATCCTTTTAATAATAATAAATTATACAGCAGAAATAAGGATACAAAATGATATCTTGACAAAGTAAATATCTGTAGGTATACCTAAACTCTTTTATTTAAGCATGCCTATACACATAAACAAATATAAACATTTGTACAAAATATAAAATAAATGACGTCTATTTCACTTGATTCATCCATATTTCAAATAGTTCTCACTGACTAAGTAGTTGCTCTTCAAATTATATCGAAACGTATAGTTGTTGTTCCATTTTCTTAGTTCTTGTCCCTTGTCCTCTTGTCTGTAATAGGTAGTGGGTATAACTATATTTAGGTAGATGTGACGCAAAATTGGAAATCTCTACACATATCGTTTTAAACATTTTGCATCAATATTCATTATTTTATATGCACCTTACAATAACCACAACTGCACACACTACAAATTATCACATAAAATAGCGTCAAAGTAAAGATGAATAACAACGAAACCAAGCAAACTGACAAACCGCAAACCTAACCTAACATAATACGAATTGAAACGACACACGGGAAACAAATAAACTCGGGCTGTTACGCGCAGTCTACGCAAGTCACGAACATACATTTTTTCTAGACTTGTGTTATAAATATGCTACCACATTTTTTTTTCTAATTATGTCTTTATATAACAAAGGCAAATGAACTAACGCTTGAGAAGGATTGGGGATTGAGAGCAAAATTTAACTAATGCCGAATGTTCCATAAGATAAGCAAAAATAGCAAAGGGTTGTTCGTCTGTTATGTTTCCGAGATCGAAAGGGAATGTTTCGAGTAATGTTTCAAACTCTCTTCAATTGTAACGTTTCGGCTATGTTTCACTAAATAAGTTTTCAAGTGCTACATTTCTGTAATGAAACAGAAACGTTTCTAGTTAATGTTTCAAATGTTTAGTAAAACATCTCATTTGCAACGTTTCATTTACGTTTCGTGTTTAGTGGGGTTGCTATACCTATCTTAAAAATTAACAATTTTAGATATAGAACATGCTTAATAAAAGTTGAAGTGGACCGATATGTGAATAAAATAGAACAATAAAATACAGGGTGCTCCATTTGAAAAATATTAGAAAATCAAATTTGAACTTTCTTAAAATGATCGTATTATAAAAAATGCCCTGTATAAAATATCGATATTAGCTAATATAGGAGCCTTTGTCTAACATTTGCCTATAACTCTGTCTAATTTTTTGTTGCAAGTGTTAGTAGCTGAAAGTTAATACAACTTCTTCGAGGTCATGTTTTTTCCAAAAATTCGAAGAATTTTCTACATAACTTGGCAACCCCGCACTACAATGTTAAACTGTTTATATTATCATATATAGAATTTTCTCATAAATCCATATGTTTAAAAATATAAAGGGTGTTCTATTTAAAAAATGGAATATTTGCCGTGCCCCGTTTTTACTCATCGCCCTGTGTGTTTTAAATGAATTTTGTCCTTTAGGTTTTTCTGTACAACTTTTATATAAACTTTTTTTCTGTATTATGAATAACAACAATATTTTACTTTCTCACACTAATGACCCACCCTGTATATTTAAATCGAAATTCAGTTGTTTCTTTTTTTTTTTGAGGGGTTTCCTATAGAATTTTCTCGGAAATCTATATATTTAAAAATGTACAGGGTGTTCCATTTAAAAAATGTAATATTTGGCGTGTTCCGTTTTTACTCATCACCCTGTATGTATCAAATAGTTTATAGTTTAGGTTTCTTGCTTCTGCATAACTTTTATATAAACTTTTTTTCTGTATTATGAGTAACAAGGGAGTTACTTTACTTCTCACATTAATGGCCCATGTATATAAGCAAAAAAAAACAGAACATATTATAGAGGCATTTTAATGGCAATCAGTCATTTATTTAGATTCCAGTTTGCCCAAGAAGAGGAGAAGTCCTCTTTCCATCGTGTGCTTGCCACATTTTTCGAAACTTAAATTTTGCGGTTCCTAATTTCTTTGTTCCGATCCTACATTTACAAACAAGTTATTTAAACGAACAACGACTTAAAAATTGATATAAAAAAAACGTATGCAAATCGGCCCCTAATCACTTTTCCGCGATCTGACCCCGCAAAAGTGACTGACAAATCACCGTTCCTTTGATTTAGCGCCCGCAAGTCGCCCTCTACCACTACCCCGACGGCTCGAGAGGGGTTCGAGCCGCTAGTAATAATTCGAAATTCGCTCGAGGGGTCATTGTAGCCTGTGAAACGCCACCATCGATTGTTATACGAATTTGCTGTAGCGTAACCGCTAATGCCGGATCAAATCCGCGTTATTCTTTGCTTGACCACTGAAACAAAACACTGCCGGCGTCCAACTAGAGCGGGTCGCTTGATTTTTTGAACGTTAATGCGAGTCGTTCTCAGCTCGTCTCAGATTTATTCCGCTTGTTTGTTTTTGGGTTCTCGTCGGTTTTGTTTGTGTACAGCGGTCTTTGGTTTGTTTATTATTCGAAAGTGAGAGTTGAAAAGTGAAGATTTCTGGCAGGAACTTGGCGTAAGTATTCGTTTGGGATTAGCTGCAATGTGTTCACCGCCGGTGAAGGATTGCTTTCTTTTCTGCAATGCGATATGTGATTGTTGCTTAGTTGAGTTAATTGTCGTTGTTGGATGTTTTTAAAAAAACGCAAAATTATTATGCGCAACTTTATTATGACTAAAGAGTTTAAATAAAGAAATATGCTATACATAAGTTTCTTCGCATTCTAACGCTTTGTAACAATTCAAAATTGAATTTGAAAAATTTAGTTGGAATTTCAATACATTTTCAGTGTGTAGTATTTTGTACGGATCAAAAATTGAGGCAAAACTTTAGGGAGAGATTCTTTTTTTTAAAAAAATTACCACTGTCTTCAGTGTCCTTATTTTGTGAACATTTCAAAGTCAAAAGCGGATGCCCTGATTTTTTTTTAATATGTACAACAAAATGCGCACCAGTATTAAGGAATGTTGAAAACAATGGAGCAGAAATTGTCTATTATTTATTTGTTATTTCGTTTTTTCTTTATTTAACATTTAACGGGTATTTTGCCACTCGTGAAAAATTTTTAAACAATTAATGGGTTATTTTATTATTAACCAAAAAAACTAACACTGAAAAAAAGCAGTCAAATTCAAAATACAAAAAGTTTGTCACTATACAGGGGGTCCCGTTGATTGTAATCGAGTTACAGGGTGTCAAAATCAAAATTTTATTTTCAATTTTTTTAAATAACCTTCGAATTAATTCATGTATTTAAACGAAATTCCCTATCCCGAGGTTTTTTGACATGAAAAATTCAAATTTTCTCATAACTTCGGCATACATTTTAGAGAGCGCCACTTACGCCGCCTCTGGGAACTTTTATAGTTCATAAATTTTTTGCTATACACTGTATTTTATTTTCTGATCGCAACATCTCTTTTTCAATCACTTTTACATTAAAAAGGTATACTTTCTTTTAAAAAATTCAATGTATAACAAGAAGGTAAGAGAAGTATTTTAATTTTTATTTTATCAAAAAGCAAAACTAGAAATAAATATAACTGACCAATATATTATAACCGTTTATTAAATTTTCAAAAAGGCCTTCATCAAGTTCCGGACATTTTCTAATTCTTTTTGTTAAAGATTTACGGACTTTAAAAAATATGTTGGGTTGATTTCTAATAAACTGTGAGGCATTCAATATTTGGTTCCATAATTCTTGTCGATTACTTATTGAGTGAGAATAAACTAATGTTTTAAAATAGCTCCACAAGTAATAATTCAAAGGATTTAAATCAGGACTGCGAGGTGGTCATCGGCATTTACTTCTAATATTTACATTTCGAAAACTCTCCAACATAATGAAATTTTTTTAACTTTTTTATGAATGTAATTTCCTTTTGTTGACTGTAAGAATTTATTTTACTTTTAATATTCTTAAAAACTTTAGTACCTACATTTTTGTACATTTCAATCGTTATCAAAACTTCATATCCGGAAGAAATCAATTTGGTTCTATCGTACAGGGTGATTCACTATATTTTGACCCCTCTTTTAACTTTTTTGTTTTAAGAGTTATAAAAAAATGTGAAATACAAAAGTTGCACGATTTTTTATGAAGTTTTCGAGAATGATAGTAGAAAAACAAATGAAGTTCAAACAAAATGGCCGCGGATGTTAACTTTGTTAATTTAAATTGAACACTCTGTATATTTTTACATATTTGGATAGAACGTTCCTTGTCGACCATAGTCATATAGGGTTTGTTCCATCTCTAACAAAAGCGAGATAATATTAAAAAACGAAAATATGTTTTTTTATTAAGAAAATAAGACGTCTTGTAATTGTTAGACCTCTTCCAGGCATTTCTGCCTTTTTTCCAATTACATAAGGATTTAGATTTAGTTGTAATATATTTTGACATATCGGACATTGATATAGTCCAAAATCCGTATAGCTATTTTAACTAAATCTCACTAATTAGACCGTGTGAGGCCATTTACTCATGCGACAATGTTATATGATAGGTCGTGACAGTGACAGGTAGTAATGTCATGATAACATTGTTATTGTTTGACAGTTTTTATTATTATTTAATTAAAATGGATTACACAGAAGTAGAAAATTGAACTATTATTAGGAATTAAAATAAAGTATGGAGAATATCTTAACTACTCTTATCTTAATTCCTATAATATTTAAATTTTCTACTTTAATGAAATATGTAATAATACAAACTGTCAAACAATAACAATGTTGTCATAATATTACCTGTCACTGTCACGGCCTACCACATAACAACATTGTCTTACTCATGGACAATAGGCTCACGACGTAATTAGTGAGATTTAGTTAAAATACCTATACCCCTTTATCGACTATATCAATGTTCGATGTTAAAATATATTACAAATAAATCTAAATTCTTACGTAATTGGAAAAAAGGCAGAAATGCCTGAAAGACAATTACAAAATATCTTATTTTCTTCATAAAAAACCTTGTTCGCGTTTTTTAATATTATCTCGCTTATTGTTAGAGATGGACCCAACAAACCATATACGACTGTGCTCGGCAGGAAACGTTCTATCCAAATATGTAAAAATATACAGGGTGTTCCATTTAAATTAACAAAGTTAACATCCACGGCCATTTTGTTTGAACTTCATTTGTTTTTCTACTATTATTTTCGAAAACTTCATAAAAAATCGTGCAACTTTTGTATTTTATATTTTTTATAACTCTTTCATTTATTTATTTATTTATTTATTTATTTTACAATTTAGGGAATACTACAGGTACTCTCTTAACTCTTAAAACAAAAAAGTTAAAGGGGGGTCAAAATATAGTGAATCACCCTGTGCAAACATTTAATCAAATTATAATTTAAATAGATGTTACCGTGAGTTGGTTTCGTATAAACAATTGTTTCTAAAGCCATTTTTTAAATTAAAATGTCTAGAAAGAGTAAAGTATTATTGGTTTCTATTTCCAAAGTAAATTTAATTATTGGTTCCTTGTTATTAATATAATCTAGAAAAATGAGTTTCTCAATAATAAAAATTGCAAAAATGTCTACATATCTGCACCAAACCACTGTGGTCTGGGAGACCCTATACAGGGTGTCCCGAAATGCAACAAAATTTGGTCACGGATTCTTAAGATAAATTGTGATCGAATGCATATCGTGATTCGCCATTTTTCTCAAAAACATTGCATTTGGGAAAAACATATCGTGGCAAAAAAGTTTCTAAATTCACTGGCTTTCTAACGAATTAATAATTTTTAAGAAAGGGGCCCCACGATATAAAAAAAGACTATTCTTAGGGGTGGATTTCAGGGGGACAAATTTTGTTGCATTAAGTTCAGGGCACTCTGTAGATTCAGTCACATTTACATTATTTTGAACAGTTTTTAAGAAAAATATCAAGACTCTTCCTTAGTACTTTTTTGATGCACCAGAAATATTAGGTATTTTTAAAACAAAATTATATATTTACTGGCAAATTGTGGCTGTTAGAGCAGTAGTTAACAATGAATTTACTGCAACATAAATCAAAAACGGGAATGTCTTTTTTGTAGCGACAAGTTAATTGAAATTCTAATTTATGGCGAAGGCGCTGATCATAAAATATCTTTCGTACGATATTGTCAATTAACAAAGCGAATTAGGTTTGAAGTTATGTAAAGTATCGGTGTGGATATCCATTATCCAATAGCAATGAAATAATTATAATTGTTTCAGACAAGTCTGTGTGGAAAACGACATTTGTGAAAGTAATGCAAAAATGAAACAAAAACATTGCATATAAAAATTTTTAAAACTCATTGTTCACTGTAAGCGAATTATTAATATTGATGACGCTTAGATTTAGGTATTTTTAGTTGACAGTACCAACCGTGCAATGTCGGGTGCCTATGCTTGATGGTCACGTGGCGTGTAAACATTGTAGTATGTAGTATGTAGATAGGTAATTTTCATAGTTAGTCTGATATGATATCAGAAATCAAAAATAATTGACTATTGTTTATTAAAAATTGACCAATTTCGAAGAAATCGATCATCAATCTCGATAAAAAGAAACAAATAAGTTAGAAAATATCAAAATTAAAATAATAAATAAATACGAAAGTGTACAGTGCAAGGCTCATAGCTCTATATGAAATATATTGCATCAATGCTAGCAGATAAATAATAAAAATGTAAGTCAACGTGGTTTTAGGTATGTGGGGCAAATAGACTGTCTGTCGTCATTTAATTCGTTATTAATTAATGACTTATATCAGCTCCCCTTTAATATAAATGGAGAAGAGTTTATTAAATCGATTGCTGACATATGAGGTTTATAGCACACGTATGGCATTTCAATTTTTTATGAGGCTGTTTGCACTTTGTGGTAACAAATTGACATCGATAACGAAGATGTTTCCTTTTAATTATATCCGGCCGTTATTTTTTTTAAGGTATAAACTGATTGTCTCATTCTTCTGATTATTATTTAACGACAGACATTATTTTACTTAAGAGTTTTATTTAGTTTATAGTTAAGGATGGCGTTTTTTAGACTAGAATTCCAAGAAAAGACTAAGCCAATAAAGTTCTGTTATCGGAACTACTGTAACAATTTATCGCGCAGGGGCGTGCCTTGAAATTTTCCCCCAGTGTCTTTCTGCTTCGGGTGTCGAATGCTGTTAATTCCAAGAAAGTGACGCAGGCGTCTTCTTGGAATTCTATCTCGACAAATACGTACAAATATCCTCACAGTAGGCCCATACTATCGAGTTTGAGACACCCTGTACAAATAGCTTCTGAGAAACACAATCATTTAATATTTATTAAAATTGATCATCTGTTCAAGATATTAACAAATTAAAATTTGAAAAAGTAATGCGCCTATTAGTAGACTTCCTGGGAAATTAGCAAATGGCATTCATGGAAAACTAAGACAATTATTAAATTGATACCAAATTTATTATTCATCATTCTGTAAATATTTTAGTTGTCGACAATTATTCTGTGAAATGTAAAAGA